TCATGACTACTCAACTCTGCCATTGTAGAGTAAAATCAACCACAGACAAAACATAAATAAATGGGCAAGGCTGTCTTCCAATTAAAACTTTATTTACAGAAACAGGCAGAAGGACAGATTCTGCTTGTGGGCTGTAGCTTGTTAACCCCTGGCCTAGAGCAAAGTCCCTGGCTAAGTTGAAAGAGAAAAGTTGTGTGCACTGCTGAGATTTTGTGGTTGTTACCGCATGGCAACCTAGCCCATCCTGACAGAGAAATGGGTGCTGTTTTAAAAAAACTGACACACTGAACATTGGCTTAGTAGGCAGGAATTTAGGAAATTGCTATTGAAGGATGAAAGAAATAATCTATGCAGGGGCAATTCATGTTATGGAGTAGGGAAACCGTCCCTTGAGAAAACCTGGAAGGCAGAGAATCCATCCTTGACTAAAGACAAAAAAGATAAGAAAACAAAGTATTTTATAGTTCCTGTTGGCTGCATTTGATAAAATGTATAGGAAAGAGATGAACTCAAAGAATAATTCATCAATTTGCAAGCAGAAATGCAAGGGAATAGAGAGAGATCACGAATTCAAGAACTTACTGAGTGGGATGAGGCCACTTCTCAATGACAAAAAGATAAAGTAAGAAATCCTTTAATCCTAAGGTTGGTTAAAGCTCAGTTTTATAGCAAGGATCAAATCACTGGGTGACTATCACACCTACTGTTAAGATCTCTGAATGAGTTAATGACTGACTAAAAGTCCAACTAAAAGTATAATGTTGGTTAATCCCATAAATTGGACAAAATGGCTCAAAGAAAAAGAGACTAAGGGTATGGCTCTTCCATAAAGCCTGAAAGCCCTAGTTACCCAGAAATTAAATTCAGGGAGGCATGTGAACATGAAAGCAAAGAACTATAGCAAATCTAAGTAGTACACATTGACTAGATGCCCCTTTTGGGTCATCTTCCTTGGGTAGGTGACGAGGACACTCTGCAGATAGGAAAGCAAGTGAACTGAGTATCTAGCAACCAGAAGGGCTGACTGAGTCATTCTTCTAATATTTTGTTAAATTTACTTACTTTTAAATCCCAGAAGAGCCAGAAAGCATCTGTAAAGGAAAGTAGCAAGTAAATAGTATGCCATTTTCTCCTAGGGTTGAGCTTACAAAGGAAAATGGATATTAACTCTTAAGCAGCATTATCTTTTTCTGATACTGAATGTAACCTTTTTATTACTGAAGTATTGTTTTGGTCCACTAAATAGTTGTCCACTCTTTTTCATCCAGGTTTCTTTGGAAATTAAAACTTTAAAAAAACTGAGACGTCTATATTAAGGAGGTAAAGACTTAATATTACATAGTAGATTTATGTGAGTATATCTGGATTTGAATCCTGGCTTTACTACTTATTTTTAGCAGGGCAAATTGTAGTCTAAGTTTGTTTCCTTAACAACATTCACGTAATAAATATTTGAGCCACGTGCTAAGCACTGAGCTTAATTCTGGAAATATAATTTCCTAGTCACAAAGTTTCATTTTTAATTTAGTTTCATTTCTTAATTTGTAATATGTGGATAACAACTACGCAGCAAGAAGTCTAACGCAGGAGCACTGTGAAGATCAAATGAGACTACTAAATGGCTTCAAAAGATCATAAAAACTATACAAATATTTACTCATCCAAACATTTACTGAAATGCCAGGCATTGTGCTAAGCACTAGAGATATAACGATGAGCAAGCCATATGGTCGCTGCCCTTATAAAGCTTACAGTCCAGCTGTGATCAACAAGTAACAATAAAACGTGCTAAGTGTATGGCTGGGAAAGAACAGGGTATTTACGGAGTGCGCAGTAGGAGCACCTAGTCCAGAGAGCATCGATGAATGCTTCCTAGAGGAAGTTGTATATAAACTGAGACCTGAAAGATGAAGAGAAATTGTATCTCATCCTAAGAGTAACGGTGAAAGAGGTGGAGTGATAGGACCAGACATGTCTTAGTGGAACAACCCAGCTGCAATGTAGAAAGTGATCAAAACCAGAGAGCGAGACTAATTGCTATAATTTAGATAGGCTGATGGCCTGAATTAGGACAGCAGCACTAGAGAATTGAGAAAAATTTAAATGGTAGATTAACAGAAAGGTTTTTGTGGGTGGATGTGATGAAGAGAGAAAAGTCATGGATAACAGTTTTTAGCTTGGGCAAGGGCAACCGAACGGTTGTTGGTAGTTTTTACTGAGTGCCATTTACTGAGAGAACATGAGAGGAGGAGCAGACTTGGAGGCAAAATCAATGACATGTTGTGGCGCCTAGAAGACAGCAAAGTGGACGTAAGTTAGCAATTAGATATATGAATTAGGAAAGGTCTAGAAAGGAGATATGAATTGGGGAGTGCATACAGCTGGTAACTGAAGCCACGGAAGGAGATGAGATCGGTTAAGGAGATGATGCAGAATAAGAAGACAGCCTAAAACAAAATTTAAGAATCCCAAGAACACAGGTATTAAAGGGAAAGAGTTGCCTGCAAAGAAGACTGAGAAAACCTACCTGGAGACAGTATCTCCCTGAAGACAAAAACAAGCATTTCAAGGAGAGTAGTCAGTGATGTCGAAGAGGGTAAGAACACTGACAAGGACTTAGCAAGCTTAGAGCAGTTGGAGTGGCAATATGGGAGACTGGGACTACAGACAAATCTTTTAAGAAAACAAGTAGGAATGAGAGATATAGGAACATAGAATTTCTAAAAAATAGTACTTACTATAGCTATATTCACTGATAAGACCGGTAACAACTACCTTATAAAAAAATTTTTTTTAAAAAAAAGACTGCATGCAGTTACAGAATTACCTAATACAGAAAAATAAAGTAAAATACACACTTTCCTTTTTTTTTTTTTTACAAACAAGGCTAGTTTATAGCAAATTCTCTATTATTCAGGGTCAATTTAAAATCCTTGGCTTCTTTCTCCCCCCGCTCAGTACATCAGTAAATGACGCAAACTAATTTTCTATTACCTTATGTAAAATATATACTGGAACGTCACACAATGTACAAGACTGCAGAAAGCAGAAGCAGCTTTCAGGTCTTCCAACCATTCTTTCAATAAAGCACTTGTCACGAAAGAAAATACTTCAAACTAGTGGGAAATTACCGGTAGATTTTGTTTGTTTGTTTGTTTGCTCACTGTGTTGTTTTTCCAGATATTTAAGCTTACTCCCTGTTAATCAAAACCTCAACTTGACCATTCTTGCTAAGTATTTCGTTAATATATAATATTTGCTTTTCTGTCCTAATGATGTATAACAGAATAGGGCCCTTTAATCTGGTTCAACATCAATTACTGATTTATAAATGCTATTGTGAGCTACTGGAAACTATCAAGGCCTTTATTGCACCTTTCCAGCTAAACTTGAAATGTTGGAATCAGTCTCCCCTATCAAGTATTGTCAGTTTGCCCAACTTGCCCTTGTAACTTTGCTTCTACCGGTAATTTTCCCTGTCCCTCAAAACGAGATAACCTACACTGGGGGTCTATTGGCACTTTGGGAGAGGTAATTCTCCCAGCTGTCCTTTATACCCCTGGGGGGGGTCCTTCACATTTTAAGGCCCGCAGAAGCCCCTTACTAAATGTGACAACAAAAGAAGCCGCCTATGTTTCCCAACATCCTCTGGAAAGAGGTGTTACTGTCTCTGGTTGAGAACCTCTGAAACAGTTTTGGGTTTTAGGCTCTTATGGAATCTACCTGGATTGTTCAAGGCATCAGTTCCTTCTAAATTCTTGGTTGTATCTTGGTTCCCTGAATTTGCTGGATCAGTGACTACAGAATAATGTGCTACAATAGTTAAGACAAGACTTTAGCATGAGTTTTCAAACTGTACTTGAGATGATCTCTATGTTGGGTCCTATTTTAAATCATTTTACATATTTGGCTTTACTGTAAGATTTCCTTTTCGTGGTTAACATAAGTTTGAAAAAAACTGTTTTACCACAAAACGGATGTTGCACTAAAAAATATGGAATTGTTACAACCTGTGGACACAGCTGCTTCTTGAGAGCTAAATATTTCTACTTGTGCACTGTCTTAAATACAGAATGTGTGGGGCAGTTTCAAATTCTACAGTAAATCTATTTCCAGCAGCTAACAAAATCTGACATTATATCACTTTAAAGGGTTTCCTTTAAGCAAGCTTTCTTTATAAAGCAATTAACACCCATGCAGCTAGGACAAAGAAGCTAAGACACCTCACACCTCCTTATCTTGGAGTGCAAAAATCTCTTTTCCTTCTCATGTGACAGAGCCAAACTTCTGTCTAGAGTAGAAAAAAGAACTGCTAATGGGCAACCGTTAAGATTCTATACTTACCGTAGTCCTTTCACAGGCAAGCTGATGTAACGGCACCCAATTCTGAAAAATTCAGGGGGAACCTCCAATAATTGCTTAGTCTGATCTCCAAATTGCAAGAAGCCTCCTAAACCAGCAATTTAAAAATATTTCTTGCTCCTCTGACTAAAATTTTCTTTGATTACTTCCTCTAGTGGTAATATCATTATCACTGGGGTAGGGGGGTGAGAGGGCGGGAATTTGTTAATATTCACTTCAGATTCAGAAATGTGTTTAAAAAAAAGTCTCAAACATTTTGATAGTTAGACAAAATACCTCCAATGTATGTATGTTCTTCCTTTTCAGAAACTTCTGAACTTGCTATTTGAGTTTCTGCAAATTGGCTCAAACATATATTCAAGGAGTTGATAATTTCAGATTATATGCATCATAATTTTAACACTTGTTAAAATAAGAGCTAAAATTTCTTTGAAATGCCTTAAAAACAGACTCCTAATTTAACTCACATTCAGTACTAAACTCCTTTAAAAACAATTATAAAAGCAAAAGACAATGACTTTGTCATCAAGTTTTTAAAAAGATGTTTGCATGTTTTAGTCTCATGCTGCCTCTTGAGATAAAAAAAAAAAAAAAAACCTGTCAGAAGAATTTGAATTGTGATCAATTTGGATGAATAAACTTGGTGCTTTCCCACAATCCAAATCAGTAAACCTGAAAAATCAAACAAATTTTTGTTTTTAGAATTGGATTCTGGTTGAGTGTTTCAACGTTGTACTACAAAGGCTTATGGATTAGATTCATTTCTTCCTCTCACGAGATCATCCCAATGCGGCTCTATTTCAGTTGTGGCAATCCTAAACAGGGCATGGAGATGCTCATCTGTCAATGGCTGGCTCAAAGTGTGCTGATTTCGAGTCAAATATGAAAAAGCCTTTTCGCAGATTTCGCTACTATCAAATAAGGATGCCACCTTACAGGCAACCCCTTTGATAATGGGGTAAGATTCAGCAGACAATCCAGCATAGAACTGCCCTAAGTCTTTGATTCTGTACTCATTCCAAAGGTTTGTATTTGCCTGAAGTTTTGTTAGCTCCACCCTTACTGAGATAGGTGCATACTCAGGTTTAAAGTTAAATGGATTTGCAAACAGTTCTAAGTCCTTTTTAATGAACCTGAGGTCCTTGAAATGTCTCTCAAATTCTTTTTGTAGGCGACAGATAACCACTTGATATCTATCAGGATCAAATATTTTTTGATCTTCTTTATGACGCTGTTTGAGCTCATCAACAACTTCTCTGAAGGCAGCAAAGTGTGTCAGATTTTCTTCCTCAATATGTCTGTGAAGTAAACTCAGTTTACCTTCAAAGGTACAAATATGGTCAAAGGCAGCAGCAGCAAACACTTTACTAACTCTCAAGAGTTCACTGAGTTCTCGAAGGTGGTCCATAATATCCACCAAGAAGCCAAAGTCACAAAGCCATTCCTTGTCTGTGAAATGCATAGTCGTTGCCCCTACTGAAACCAAGAATGTTTCTATCTCTTTTCTTAGTGAAAATATTAGTTTTAAAGTTTTCCCTCTTCTGAGCCAATTATTCAGACATCGTCCATTAACCCTTTCACCATGCTCTGATTCAGATTCAGTTAGTAAAGCCTGAAATTCGGGTCGCCTGACGCCTCTGGTCTTAATCAAAACGATCCATTCAGATATGGTATTTATGATCTGATTAACATCTACATCGTAGGAGCTCAACAGTTCCAAGTGAAGAAATCCCGAATAATGGATAACATTCCAACAGTTGGGGCTTACAGCCTTTTCTCTCATATACGACACCAGTCCTGAGTTCTCACCAATCATCCTCAGAGTGTGGGTCGTGGTTAGTCCAACCATTCGCTGCAAGCTAAGCCCTGCTGTCTGCAGGGCCTCGAGGATTGCCGCCATGAGGGCCCCGACACTGAAGTGATGAGTCAGGTTGATTATGGTCAGAAGCTCTTCTTGCACCTCCAAGTCCTGGCCCACGCCGCGGACAAAGACCAGGAGGTAGTTCTCATACGCCACAAAAGCCTGGTCGTCCAAAGCAAGGGAATAGGCTTTAAAGTCCTTGGCTCGGTTAAAAAGCTGACTGCGTAGATTCTGGTTAATGTTCAGGACCCTCTGCCGTGTGAGCTCTGGAGATAAATCAATGCCATCCAGAACGCTGGCGTGCTCGGGCAGCACATCTCTCAGCATCACCTCCATGCACTGGTACACAAAGTCCCCCTCGCCCCAGCCGCGACCCTTCAGGGCCAAGAGGCGGGCGAGCCCGAGGCCTGCACGCGCAGCTCTCTCCTCGGGAGTGAGCGGGGCGACCACGGGCGAGTCGCCCTGCCGCAGACGCTCCACCAAAGCCGCGCGCTCGCCCTCCGCCACATACCGCTCGTAGTAGTCGTGCTCGGCCTCGTAGTGGCGCCTGACGTCGCGTTCCCGGGTGGCCACGACGAGGCGGCGACAGACCAGGCACAGGGCCCCTTCGCCCTCCGGAGACTCCACCACCAAGTAACGCTGGGTCCACTCAGACCGGAAAACGCGAGACTCGTCGACTTCCATTTTGCTCCTCTTGGGCGTCATCCACATTTCACAGGGGGCCTCAAGAGCAGGGCCGACGTAACGGCGGCCGCAGAAAAACCGGAGGAGCGGGAGCGAGCGCCAAGCACCTCCTCAGCTCTGCGCCAGATCACCCCAGCAGGGGTACACCAACCTCCGCCTACGGCACCGCCGTTCCTATTGGCTGGAGATTTCGTATTCCCTAGCCCTAGGAACGAGCCAATAGGAAGAGGGAACAGTGATTTCTAGCGCGCAGACGCATATCCTTTGAGCTAGCGGGCTGAAGCTGCTTTAGGGAGGGAGGAAGAGACCCAGGAACCCACGGACTTAAGAAACTTGACAGGCATTCAAACTATCCAATCAATAGCTCCCTGGCTACGAGGCGGCGCTGTCACTGGAAGATGGGGCAAGACGGCGTAAGCAGAATTCATAGATGGGCGTAGGCACGAAGCTCTGAGTTGATTGGCTGAAGGCACTTCCGGTGAGCGTCTCGACGTAACCTGGGCTCTTCTGGCGCCAAAATGTCGCTTGTAGCAGGGGTTATCCGGCGCCTGGATGAGACAGTGGTGAACCGCATTGCAGCAGGGGAAGTTATCCAGCGTCCGGCTAATGCCATCAAGGAGATGATTGAGAACTGGTATGGAGGGAGTCGCGCCGGGCTTCCTTAGAAGCTACGACCTAACGGGCCGCTTCTCAGGATGGCGCGGACACGCCTCCCTGCCCTAGAGCGGGGCGGAGGCGCGTACGGCGCATGCCCCCAGCGGAGGAAGCCTTAGGCTGCTGCTTTCTGTCCTCCCGGGTACCGCGTGTTTTTGAGTGTCCTCGCGAGATTTTTCTAGAGCTGTAGGGGGCGCAAGTAGAAGGGCTAGACAGGATTGTTTTAACCATGCCGTTCACTGAGAGAAGTAGCTTTAAAGTTATATGTGCAGAAAGTGCAAAATTTAGAACAAAAATTTTCGGTGGGGAATAAAATCTCCCTTCATCCTTCAGAGGGTACCATGCTATCAGCTTCTGACTTATTCCGGAAATTATCCATCCACATTCAAGAGTACAATTCATTTTGAGTTTTATTCTAAATAAATTGTCGGGATTTTAAGACAGGCCGATGCACTTTGGATTTAACTTGTGATTTCCCTATTGACTAATTAGTGACCCAAGTTAAGTGTTTTCCTGCCCTGTACTTTTGGGGCGGCACTTCGAAGATACCTGATTTTATGGGGTATACCATGGATTCTAAAGCTTAGAACTGTCACACAAACAGTGTGGAGGATAGAGATTAAAAACTTGGAAAGAAAGGTGAGTGTAAACTGTAAACCTCAAAAAAGACAGATGCTCATAATGTACTTGAATGTTATGTCAGATTCTTTGTTTTAAAATCAGTTGATGTCAATAAAGGCCATACGTTAAAAGAAAAAAAAAATCCCAGCAAAGAAAGGTAGGTTTGTAAAGGGATTTATCGTGAAAACATAAACAACCATTCATGGTAATGGGACTGAAAGAAGAGTGGGTCAGAAAGGACCACTGGGCGAAAGGAAGAGAATTAGAAGGTAGACAAAAAGGAGCAGGAACCTGGGGATGGTTTTTCCTTTGGACTTTACTTATATCATTTGTAGAGGCTGAATTTTGTTTCTACCGTATTAGAATTAACTGATAGAACAACTTCGGCCTGTTATTGTACTGGGCCAGAATACTGTACAACAAGACTACGCGTATTAGCTCAGTGGCTTATAGTTAATTCTATAAGCAGATATTTTTGTATGGAATCCAGTTATGTTCTTTTCAATATGTAAATCAAGATGGCTAATACAACTTCAATTCAGAGGCTCCTGAGAAAGATCTTTAGTATTTAAGTGACTTTTTGTCTTATTTCTGAATAGAGTTTTCAGAGTGAGTAGATGCCTGTCTTTCTTGTGCAGCTCCAGGCTGAATTTGTTTTCTCCAGCATGTGCTCTGTGCTTCTAGGCTACTCTTGAAGGTACAAAAGATTTATTGGCTTCTAAAGAACTTTATGCATTGCCATTTTTTTCTTTCTCTCAATGTAAATATTCTTAAAGAAAAGGGAATAGTGGAGAGGAATGTTTAGAATTTTTTTTTAATGACATTTTATTAGGGTCATTTAGGAACCTGAGGCTGAGTAAAATTTGAGTAACAGATGGTAGAATTAGTTGAGAAGAGGGTAAGAAAAAGGCATGCGTTAAAAGATTCTACTTCTCACTTCACTTTCTTTCCTAGAGGAACAGAAATGGTGCTGAATGTCCTATTAGAAATGATGGTGGCCCCCATCTGCCCCTCTGTTCCCTCTCACACAGCACATAAACTGCTAACAGTGTAGTCACAGAGCCTGTAAGACAAAGGAAAAACACATTAACAAGACAGTCTTATCTGGAATTTGTTCGTATCCCTTGGCTCGTATTAAAATATGTGCATTAGAGTAGGTGCAGACTGATAAATTGTTTTTTCTATTTGATTTGCCAGTTTGGATGCAAAATCCACAAGTATTCAAGTGGTTATTAAAGAGGGAGGCCTGAAGCTGATTCAGATCCAAGACAATGGCACTGGGATCAGGGTAAGTAAAACCTCAGAGGAGCAGGATGTGTGTGCGCTTCATGTGATACCTCTGCAGGATGCAGCAAAACCTTTCCCTGTTCTGGAAATTCTGGGCTTTTGTGGATGGGATTGTTTGACCAAAAAATTCAACACCTGCAATAAGTATTTATTGAGTACCTCTTCTAAGCTGGGCACTGTTCAGGGGAAAAGGAGATTAAGGAGTGAATCATGAGGCTGTTTAAAGGTGGAGTGTTCTGGGCGGAAAGAACAGTACATCAAAACCCACCAATTGGAAGCAATGCCTGACATGTTTAAGTACTAGCAAGGAGGCCAGTGTGTCTAGAACAGGGCGAGGGAGTGGAAGAGTAATAGATGAGGTCTGAAGGGTAAGCAGGCTGATTGTGTAGGACCTTGTGGGCCATTGTAAAATCTTTAGCTATTACTCTGAATAAGGTGGGATACTATTACAGGGTTTTGAGCAAAGTGGTGACATGGTTTGGCAAGTTTTCCAAGAACGCTTTTGTTTACAGTGCAGAAAATAGACTGCAGTGGGACAGGACAGAAGCCATAAGGAGGCTGTTACAGAATCCAGGAGAGGGATGATGGTGCCTTGGACCAGTTTGGTTCAAGTAGAGATGTAAGAAGCAGTGAGAATCTGGGTTAATTAGGAAGACGAAGCTCTCAGAATTTGCTGATATAGGGTGTGATAAAAGAGTCAAGAATGATTTTAAAGTTTTGGCCTGTGCAAATGAGGAAAAGAGTTGCCTTTTACAGATGGGAAAGACTATAGAAGAAGCACGTTTGGGGGAAGATTGGAAATTCATTTTGGGTCATGTTAAACTTACGATGCCTGTTAGTTGGATACGTCTGTGAGTCTGGAGTGCAGGGTAGAGGTTTGGGCTAGAGATAAAAATTTGGTGTATTGTATTTTGGTGGTATTAAAAGCCATGAGACTCATGTGAAAAGATGTTCAACGTCACTAGTCATTAGGGAAATACAAATAAAAACTACAATGAGATACCCCTTGATATCCATCACGATGGCTGTTATAAAAATAAGTAAATAACAAATATTGGCAAGGACATAGAGAAATTGGAGCCTGTGTGCATTGCTGGTGGGAATGTGAAATAGGGCTCCCACTGTGGAAAATGGTATGATGATTCCTCAAAAAATTAAACAGAATTACCATATGATTCAACAATTCCACTTCTGAGTATATACCCAAAAGAATTTAAAGTGAAGTCTTGAAGACATTCATATACCCATGTTCATAACGACATATTTACAGTAGCCAAAAGGTGAAACAACCCAAATAGCAACATATGAATGGATAGACAAAATGTGATATATACATACAATGGAATTTTATTCAGCCTTAAAAGGGAATAAAATTTTGACACATGCTACAACAGGCATTATTCTAAGTGAAATAAGCCAATCACAAAAGGACGAATATTGTGTGATTCCTCTTACATGAGGTTCCTAGAGTAGTTAAATTCATAGAGACGGAAATTAGAACAGTGGTTACCATGGGCCAACAATTAGGGGAGTAGGGAAAGGGGAGTTTTTGTTTAATGGGTACAGTTTCAGTTGGGGAAGATGAAAGAGTTCTGGATATGGATGTTGGTGATGCTTGCACAACAAAGAGAGTATACTTCAAGCCACAGAACTGTACACTTAAAAATTGTTAAAATGGTAAATTTTGTTCTGTATATTTTACTACAATTAATTGTGTCTGTAAAATGTATCTGTAGATTTTTAGAACAGAAGTCTTCTAATAATTTTTGTAAAATCCATGAGACTGGATAAGCTCATCAAGAGAGTGAGTGTAGGTAGAGAAGAGGTTCAAGATGGTGTCCTGGGTTACGCCATTGTCAAGGGAGATGAGACCGAACCAGCAAATGAGACTAGTGAGAGAGAAGGATCACCAAGGCAATGTGGTATTCTGGATGCCAAGTGGAGAAGTTACTGCTCATTTAAAAACTCTTCCCCCAGGAAGAGTGTCTTCTTGGATTCAGTCAACAAAAGAAAAATGCAAAACGATTTGGAAAAATGAGTAACATGATTATTTACTTATTTTTTTGTATCTTCTAGAAAGAAGATCTGGATATTGTGTGTGAGAGGTTCACTACAAGTAAACTGCAGTCTTTTGAGGATTTAGCTAAGATTTCTACCTATGGCTTTCGGGGTGAGGTAAGCTAAGGATTAAAGAAATATGTGCAGGATCCTCATGTGATGACATTTCTGCCACTTGTCAGCATATGTTTCTCCACGTATAAGTAAGATACGATCGTTTTTACTTGTTAAATGTACCAAATCTAAACAAACTTAAATTCACTTTTTCAAAACTGAGCATTATTCATAAATACTTAATACACCATAAACTGTATCTGCAGAGGCCCCCAAGACATTATGTGTCTCTTGAGAGAAGAACGCAGCACCACCTACAAAATTTTCTTGTCCAGAAATCAAATGTGAATCTGATCAACACTTAAATCTAAGCACTAATATAAAGAAGAAATGGGGGCGGGGGGAATGGTAAATGATACTAAGATTGGGAAACTGCATGGTAAAAGACTTATTGCCTTCAACTAATAAGCTGCAAGGAAAAAAAAGTAGAGAAGGGAGCCAAAACATGTAGATTAAAAGAAATTTAAGAGGCATATGAACTGGCTCCTATGTATAGGTCTTACTTGGACCCTGATTTGAACAAACTAAAATTTTTTTGAGACAGATATTTGAACACAGATGTTATTAAGGAGAAGTTATTGTTAATTTTCTTGGTATAAAAATAGTATCGTGGGTTTTTTTGTCAGTCTTTATCTTTTAAGATATATACTGAAATATTTGTGAATGAAATTATATGATATCTCGTAGGAATATGTAATGTAGAAAATACATAAAAATATTTTTAAGAATAAAATAGGATCTGATGTTTTTATGACATACTCTGTAGCTATCTTTTCATTCACTGTAAATAGGCCTACATAAAGTTTAATGGCTGTGTACTCTTCTGATACACATACGTACTGTAGTTTATTCCTATTCGTTTATGTTCTTTGCCATTTTTTCCTTTTTAATACTCTGGTGAATATTCGTGTACATACAATGTGTTTGGTTCAATTATTTCCTTAGGAGAAATTCATAGAAATAACATTTGTAAGTAAAAATATGCATACTTTTCAAACAGTTCGTATTAGTCTCCTATTGCTGCTGAAAAAAAAACACCACAGCTTTACAGTTCTGGATGTCAGAAGACATGGGTGTCCCTGGGTCTCACTGCACTAGAATCCAAGTGTTGGCAGAGCTGTATTCCTTCCTGGAGGTGGCCCTGGGCTACCAAGAGAAACTGTTGGGAGTAGTTATTTGGGGGGAATGAGAATGAAGGTGGGGGAGGGGAATGGAGCTGATTATTTTCCACTTTAGGCCTTTCCATAGTTTTTAAATTTTATATCATGTGCATGTATCTTATTTATTTATTTTTTTTAATTGAGGTAGCTGTGACCCAGTCACTTCAATTTAGATCAAACTGGGGTTGTCTCAGTCACCCTCTGGCTCACAGTGAGCCCCGGATTGTTCCAGGCTAGGGCAGTATCAGACTGTTTACCCTGAGGCTCCCCTGATTTTAAGTATGCCTCAGGTCAAGGCCTAGCAAAAGTTTCATTCTGCCTTTGCAGCTTCCTGGGTCGATTTCTAAGCCCATGGTCTCCTGGAGCCTTAGCCTGGATGTGGGTTATCTTTGGGGCTATTTCACTGTAATTAAACATGGCAGATTTATTGAGAGATTTCTGTTTGCCATCCATGGTTCTCAGTACTTTGTATGTACTAACTCTTACTCTTGACAACTCTGCATAGTGGGTTCTGTTATTACCCTGTTTTACATATGAAGAAACTGATGCTGGGAGATTAAGAAATATGGCCAGGGCACACAGCTGGAAAGTGGCCGAGTGGGGATTTGAACGCTGGCAGTTTAACTACAGAGTCTGTGCTCCTGTCCACTTGCTCCAGTGCAGGACCATCTGCCAATGGCTCTCTCTCTTCCTAGTGTTATGTAGTATTATAGTACTGTGTGTCTTTAATATCCTTCCTTACACCAGTGTCAAAATCATTTACATTTTTACTGATGAAAATTAGCTCAGTTACATAAACCAGAGAAATCCGGCCTAGGACCTGGTCATCTCTGAGTGTGATCCATGTTCCTTGTTAATCAACTGAACCTACCATGGCTTGTATTCACTGTCTCCCCAACCGCTATCACACAGACCCATCACAGTGCCCAGGTTGCATTTTTATGTGCTATGATGTCCCTATGAAAGAAGATAGAGATTCCAAAGGACTTGGAAACCAATCTTGATTATATGGGGAGAAAATGGTCATTTTTTTAAAATTTGGTTGTTCTTAATTGCATAATCTTTAATTTACATTTCTAAACATAGAATTGCCTACAGAAAACAGTTTTGAATAACAGTAGACAATATTATCTATTTGGAGTGACTCCATTAGCCATTTCTGAAGGCAAGTTTTTAAAATTGTTGGAAGACAAATCATTGAGAATATTAAACATGCTTGTAACTCTACACCTGAACACAGTTGCTATTAACACGTTAATGCTTTGGTGTGTTTCCTTTTGAACTTTTTATGTATATATTTTTCCCTTGTTCTAGTAATTATGCTACAGATTCAATTTGATATCCTCCCTTTCGTTTGAAGATGTCATCAAAGTGAATGAGGAGATGCTCATTGTTGCCATTTGTTAATACAAAATGGAAGAGGCAATTTAGATAACCTTTGCCTTGATGAGCTGACGGGAGTGACCCAGCAGGGAGTTTTCCTTTCATTCTATTTCCTTTTCTTCCTTAGGCTTTGGCCAGCATAAGCCACGTGGCTCATGTTACTATTACAACTAAAACAGCTGATGGAAAGTGTGCATACAGGTATTATGCCGTCGTCTTTTATTCAACTATATTCATCCAGAAGTGTGCTTTTGCCTACTTCTCAAAGTAGTCCTATCTAAACACCAATTTTATCTTTTTTGGCTGAGATTTTGGGTAAGTTTTCTTTCCTCCCTTTGGATTAGTTGATAATCCACAGAGATGATTATTAGGTAATAATCTTCATAGATTCTTAAAAGATAAGATGTGACATATTACAAGTGCCTAGCAAGACGCCTGCTACACAGAGGTATTCTAAGTAAACAGTAGCTGTGGATGTTATTCTGTACCTTTTTTCCTTTAGTAGGGTATTGCTGTGGGCTGATTACAGGACCATGGCTGGAGTACCAGAGGCTCATGGTTCCTTAGTGGGCTCAGGAGCCATCAGCTCCCTGCCGCATGTGCATGCCTGTGCTGGTGTGCCTGCCCATGGGTGGCCAGTGGTTGTCTGTTGGGCTAGCACAGTTATCAGAGGCTGATGAACAGCCTTAGAACAGAACAAAAACGGGATTCATGGAATCAAAAATCACACCTTTGTTTTTATAAGCACTAACCACTCACTAGTGGAAGACAGGTAGGAGTACCTAATTCTTACCCAAAAAAGAGAATTTTTTTCATCATACAGATTTTGTAAATTAATATAGAAAATAGCTTCAACAAGGGTAATTCTGCCTATTTCTCAGTCTTCAAGAGACAAATGTGTGAAGTAATAGAAGATGGAGCATTTCGGAGTATACACTGCTAGTGGAGTTTAACTCTGTGTAAATTATAATTGCCCTAGGATCTGGGTGGGCTGATATGATTAGACTCCCTTCTCACAAAGTGGGGAGACTCTTGTGAGTTAATGTCTTCCTAAGTAGCCTAGGACACAAGTTCCGTTTCTTTACCTCTGGGATCATGTTATGCCTGTTTGGGACCTCTAGTCGCTGGCCTTCCATGGCAAGACGAAATCCAGAGTCGTCATCATAGCAACCAGCACCCTCCCAATGTGCTCCCAGTCCACCTTTCCAGCGTCTTCTCTCCACACTTGCCCAGCTGGTGTGTGTTCTAAAGCTTCTATGCTTTTGTTTATGTTTTTCTCTTCCCGGACGGTCTTCTCTGCTCTCCCCACCTGAAATATTCCTCCCTAGAGCCCAGATGAATTGTCATCTCTTCTGTGCCACTTTCCCTCACCCCCACCCCCACCCCCGGCTGAATGTTTTCTTCTCTAGATCACTTAGCACATTGTTCCATCCCTTAGGTCAGAGTCTGTCCCCTCGCCAGATCAAGAGCTTTCCAGGGCCTTTCTTTATTACCAGGGCCTTACAGGCCTGAGACATGCTGTATAATAAATGATTACAGAATTACTGAGAAAATTTTACTGTCTTCTTAGGCAGTGGTAAAACTCTTATTTGTAGTTTAGAACTCAGGAACTAAAAAGCAACATTTGTTAGAAGAATAGGGATTTTTTTTTAAAGTATCCAATTAGAATGGTTAAGAAAGTAGAGGGAAAATAAAGAGGAAAGTGTTATATTAAGACAGTAGATAACATGGCCATGTTTTAATCTGTGGCTGGTATAATTTCCTCTTTTTCCCTTTGGATAAGTATCCTGTTTCCATTAGATTAATACTCTCTTATGTTTTCTGATTAGAGCAAATTACTCAGATGGAAAGCTGAAAGCTCCTCCTAAACCATGTGCAGGCAATCAAGGGACGCAGATCACGGTAAGAATAGTACATGGGAGGGTAAATTGTTGAAAAAGAGCTTTGTATAAATATTGAAATACAAAATAAGATTGCCTCTGGGTTTTCAAAATAGTAGTAAAATGAATCTTTACTAGTTAATAAAAGCCCTGGGATACCACTCTCTAAGCAAGAGAAATGATTATTGGCTTTTGGAGCATGGCAGCCTGCTCACCCCTCACCTTTTTTAAGAGGCTGGGAGATTTTTTTGTTGGGATGGTAGAAATCGGTGACGAGTAGTTGGCATTGAAAGAACCTTAAGCTTGGCTCCAGAACGTGTAGAGTCCCTGCCTCGTGTCCAGAGGCAAGTCGTCTAATGTCCCTTCACCTCACTTTTTTTGTCTAGTAAATGGAATAGAGAATACCTGCCCACTCGGAGGGTGTTTGAGTAATATGACTGTAGAGAAAGTCCATTATGCTGCCTTATTTCTGTGGTGCCACGTTTGGTCTCTTCCTATTCTGTGATCCCATGCTGTACCCCACGGTCATGTTAAGCTGTCATGTTCCACCCCTCCACCCCAGCCCCAGCTAGAGCACATCTCGAAGGCTCGATGAGGCAGGCAGGAGGCAGAAATGAATGTGTGCTTCTAAGTGCGCACTAAGAGGGCTACTGTACCAGGGTGACCACGATGCGACTTCCAAAAACCCCAAATGATCTCAGAAATTTTGTAATTATTCTTAGTTTGAAAGCCGTGTGATATTGTAATTGTTTGTAAATTTATGTTTGCCCCACTGAATCTTGTGCTATCCTGGGCAAGACTGCTTTATTTGTCTTCATATTTGAGAAATCAGTAAATGAATGTGGGAGGCAGGAAAAATATCCTGTTTCCCTCATTAAGGCTGCTGTATCTCCTGCCCCCCTAGTTAATGCTTAAAACTGTGCTGTTGGTAAATATAGTTAGATATCCTGCCTTAAGACCCAGCTTTAGGTGGACAGCTTGGGTCTTTATTTCCATATACTTGTCTGAATTTACAAGAAAAATTAATCTTCCATTCAGGTGGAGGACCTTTTTTACAACATATCCACGAGGAGGAAAGCTTTAAAAAATCCAAGTGAAGAGTATGGGAAAATTTTGGAAGTTGTTGGCAGGTACAGTCCAAAATCTAGGTGTGGGTCTCTGAGATCTGTCACCAAAGGAATGTGTTCCAGTGCTTATAAATTGAGAGCAGTTGCTGAGCCACATGGAAAATAACAATACTAGCCTAAAAATGGTTTCTGATCAAGGTTTAACGACCACTTCTGAGTTTTCTCTCATCTCCCTGGGAGAGAGCATTTGGTGCTGTATCAGTGAGGGTTCTCTAGGGTAAGCAGAACAAACTGACTCTATCTAACCCGAGCAAAAGAAATGTAACGGGAGGCCAGGAGGGACTCACTAAGTGGGAGGAAGTGTGGACAGCTGCTCCTTGGGGAGGACAAGGACCAGTGTGGCTTCAGGGATTCAGTGGAGTGACCCTGCTCCAATTGTTTTCCTTCTTTTCCTGGCTCTGCTCAAGAGTCTGTTTCCTGGGAGAGTGCATCTGATTGGTGACGCTTGGGTCCCCCCGCCGTGTGCCCACATCTATGGAGAGAAGATCTCTTGATTAGCAGTCTAACTAAGGATATATCAAGTGGAATGGGGAAGAGTAGTTTCCCAAAAGCAGATTAGGAGCTGTCAACAGAAGAAGGGATTCAGAGCAGGGAAAACAACATTATTATGTCCATGGTGGACTTAATCTGCTGGTACAGTGGCTCCAGCGTGGGCTCCCTAAGCCTGCGTGTCCTTGAATTGTAACAGAGATGTGTTAACTCTTTTTAGTATTTCTAGAAAATCTAGAATGAATAAAACATTTGCTTCTAATAAAGTGGGACAGATTTATACATCAGGTTTCTTTGCTTTTCCCTGGATTGTATAAATCACTAACAGAATATTTCTTATCTCCTTGAGATAAAGGAGTTCTAGTTGGATGTTTTAGTTCTCGGTGTGTAAAGTGACTTACTGTTACTGAATAAATGCATTTTGCTAGACACAGTCCTTCCGTTTGTGGGGCCATGGAGGGAGGAGTAACAAATAATAGCCAAGTGAGAGAAGGCTGGGAGTTAGTGGAGTGGGACCTCAGGTTAGGAAGAAGTGGGTGAGTAGGAACCTGTTTTGAGGGCCTCTGAGAGAGAGTAGAATAGTGCAGGGGTTCTTAAAACTAGGTTCTCAGGCTATCCTTGAGGCAGCCCAGACCTTTCGAGATACTGAAAATAAAAGTGTAAGCAAGGAGGAGATGGCATTGAAATATCCTTGAGTCTAGTCAGCAACCTGTAAAAGCTCTGTGGGACCCTGATTTTGTTTGATTCAGGCACATTTAGCATTGATAGCTCCATAAAGTCTCTGCTGGCTTATTTTCCTGTGGGTAGAATATGATATATGAAGATATTTTTGTTTGCATATATCTCTTTTTAGATCACTTAACTCCACCCATTTATTTAACTAAAAGGGGCCTCTGAGATGTATTGGGCATTTGGCCACTCTTTGCTTACTGTTTTTTTTTTTTTCTTTGCCAGGTATTCAATACACAATTCAGGCATTAGTTTCTCAGTTAAAAAAGTAAGTTTTTGATTTATTGGGGATGGTTATGTATTATAAAGGAAAAGAGATTTTTTGTAGTTCATCTGTGGAGATGTTATGATGTTTCAGTCACAGCTGTGAGATAATAAGTTGTGTCTTCTGTTCTTTTTATCAGCAGGGTGAGACAGTAGCTGACGTTAGAACACTGCCCAATGCCACAACCGTGGACAATATTCGCTCCATCTTTGGAAATGCCGTTAGCCGGTATGTTGATAACTTATATTAAAAAAAAATCTTCCGCTTCCCATGTCTTGGTTTATCATTTCATCACATTATTTTGGAATCTGTCAAGATAGCACCTGCCTTAAGAGTTTGCTTTAATCAAATATGCAGGCTTGTTTTCATGCTTCTGTTTTGTTAGTGGTGTCATTATTTCACGTAATCAACACTTCTGGGTGTGTGTTGTCTCCTAGATGCTCTGGCTATAAATCAGTGTGTTCTCTCTAGATCTCTATCTTCAAAAGACTTACAATGCTCCCCTCTTCCTTCTATTTCCATTATCATCACTTTAAGATTTCATTTATTGTAATTCAGCAGTTATTAATTGCTTCCCATATTCCAGGCTTTGTGCCAGAAGTTAAGGATGTAAAGCTAAATAAAATATTTCCTGCCTGTAAAGACTTCCCTGTCTGGGGGCAAGCAGATTTGTGTCACCAAATCTTCATTGTCAAGGAAACCCTAAGAAGGGAACTTGTTTGCATAATAGATTCCTTGTGGCAGTCCCCTCTGCAGGTGACTCCATCCATCACAGGCTTTCCATCACAGGCTCCTGCTAAACCTCAGGACTTTACTAAGTCCAAAGTGCCTGTGTCATAATCGGAGGGGAAAAATCTAAGACCCTTCAATATGCCAGGCATACAGCAGCCGATGCTGGGGTACACAGATGAATAAAATAGCCCCTGACTTCACTTTTTCCAGTTATCTTAAAAGCAGCAGCAGTAGTCCCAGCACCTAGTTTTCTGCTTTGAAGGACAAATTATTCATTCTTTGAGCAAAACAAGTTCCTAACTAGAGAACAATCAATTTGCTTTTAATTACCCTTTTTTCCTAATTAAGTGCTAATGAATTGATTTTTTTTAACTTTTTGAATTGATTTTTTAACTGTGCTCCCAGAGCAAAGAGAGAACTCTGTTATACAGTGAAACTTTTAAGAGCTTGCCGACTAGGTTTTAAAACTCAGAATTAGTTATGAAATTTCTAGGGACTGTAAGAGATTAGAAGTCTCCTGGAGCAGCATTATCCAAAGTGTGTTTCCAGAACACCAGCCTCAAGACATTTTGGGAAGAAACGGTTTGCTGGTTCATTGTATATGGAAAACACTGCAAGCTATACCCCCTGCTCAGAGACTCAGGGCTCACATTACTGAGTTACTGCCTGACAAGCTTTTATCATACATTCAGCAAATGCTTAATTAGTGCTTGCTGTTTGCTGGCTGCTGTGCTAAATGGTGGAGATATATAGTAGGGAATAAAGCAGAAATGACTCTTGCCCTCAGAGGACTCACGTTCCAGTTGGAAAGACATGAAATAATTATGCTCTTCATTAGTGGTTGTGTCAGGTACCTTGAAGGAAATACATAAGGCACAATGGGAGACTCTCAGCCTCATGGAGAGGCATAGAGAAGGCTTTTTGAGGAAGTAACCCCTGAGATATGAGGGATAAGGAGGAATTAACTAGCTCACGGTAGGTGAAGAGGAGCTTTCCAGGCAGAGGAACCAGCACTAGGGAAGGCCCTCAGGCAGAAATGACTGGCTTGTGAGGACCCTTTCACCTGGTAACCTCACCTCCCCATACACACACTGGGGAACACCATGCTGGAGCCCCATTGTGATGGTATTCAGTATAGTAAGGGATTCAGCAGAGATGAGTTCTTTGGAATCTCAGGGATTTAGTTACTGAGATACATTAAAAGTTTCAGCAAAATAAGATCTCGGAGCTTGGACTTGTCATTATGTCCCAGCAGTTAGATCAGTGCTTGGCATATAGCATAAATGCTGAAAACACTGCCTGGGTAGGTAGGTGGGTGGGTGGATGGAAGGACGGATGGAGGGGCCCAGAGGACCTCAATAAACCAAGTGTCGGGTCCTCATTTGGCAGAGTTAGCTTATGGGAAGGAGCCCTGATTTTTCCAACTCTGGTTCTTTTATAATGTTTGAGTTTTTCACTGTTTTCAAAAGCCTCAGAATTTCTCTTTTCCAACTAGAGAATTGATAGAAGTTGGGTGTGAGGATAAAACACTAGGCTTCAAAATGAATGGCTACATATCCAATGCGAACTACTCAGTGAAGAAGTGCATCTTCTTACTCTTCATCAACCGTAAGTGAAAAAGCACCAGTGGGGAAGTCTGTTCACAGGGAATTTGATGGGACCATGGAAAAGTTCCTCATCCACAGGTTTCATTACACACAGGGAAACTTTGTGAAGTGTGGTTTACTTAGGAAGCATTTATGAGTTCTGGCCTAAGTCTGCTCTGCCCTCTGATACACGCTCATTGCCAGCCGACTGTAGCGGAGTCTGGTTCTTGCCTCTAAGAGGGAGCCAGAGAGAGGGTATCACAGGCCCCTCTGAGCCAGCACACCTTCCTCACCTGCTGGCATTGGAGCCTTTGCAAGCAGGCCCTAGGCAGATCTTTCTTCTCTCCTTAGGTCAAGGTCCGCTGTTTGAAATTGCACAGCAGGCCCAGGGAGAAGGGAACTTTGGGTGTAGGCAGTATCATTAAAGTAAAGAAATTGAATGCTAAGCCCTTGAGATTTTTCTTTGTAAAGAAAGAGAGTGACTTATGATTCAAAGAGCAGTACTAGAAATCAGGGAGGAAGTTAACTAAATGAATTTGGGTTTTTCTCATATTCCTCTCCAGTCTTTATCTCTGTGCTGACATAGTGTTTACATGATTGCTACTTATTAAGTAAATAACATTTTGCATTCTGCCTCTTACTTAATTGCATGTTATACAATTTTGAGAAACAGGGCAACAGCAAATAATCCCAAACACGGTCAGACTCAGTTGTTCATCTTCCATCCAGAAACAAGATGCATCTTTCCATTTTTATCTTTAGTTTTTAAAGCAATTTGTAATTATTTTATAATTTTTATTTTGGTTTTTTAATTTTATTTTGTTTGTTCTTGGAAATGATATATTCCCCTCTTCCTTTTATAGCGATAACCAGCTATAAATGCCCCAGATTATGCATAGTTTACAGCAGTAGTTCAAACCAATATAGTAACAGTGAGGAGAGAACTAAGATTTTACAGGCAGCTTCTGTTAAACTGATTTATGTTAGTGGGGTTTTTTCCTGCTTCCTCAGGAAGGACTTAAGCCTGATGTATAACACAGCTTGCTTTAATCAGAGCTAAGAAAATGTTTTTTCCTAACCATGAAGAATAACTGCTTTGTAAGGCATGTTGGCTACAGAATAGACACGCAAAAATCAGTGTAAGTGCCGTCTGACTAGCTCATGTCCGTACTTCTAGTAGGGCTGTTTGCCACACGGGTTCTGTGCTAACATTAGCTAATCTGGTCATGATGACAAGTTCCCAGTAGCGAGGAGAGATCGTGTCATTCAGTTATCCACACACTGTGCAGGCTTTCTCAGGTGGCAGGAACAAAGAACACTTCTTTGGCCTGTCTCAAGTTCAGAAATCTCAGCAGAGAGGCCCCAGCTGCCCTCTTGTCTGGCGCCCACACCTGCTCCAGGCCTGTGTGGTGAGGACATGTGTGACAGAGTACGGTGATACTGAGGGAGCAGTGGATGTAGTGAGCACTCAGAGAATGATAGTCTCTGCAGTGATACGATCATGGCCACTCTTCTCATTGGAAACAAAAAGATGTGACGTATCCTTGGCCACACCAACACAGGACAACAGATCATCGGCAGGCCATCTGGGGAGAAAAAAGAGCTATATTTTCTGAAAATACATCTTCCTCTGATTTTGGTCTTATCTCTCCCAGCTTTAATTGTTTTCCACTCCCTCAAACCGGCCTCATTTCCTGAATTATGTTAAACATGCGTTCAGATATTTATACTGCCTGGAAAATTCATTCTCACCCTTCATTATTCAGTTTGGATACCCCACTGTTGGAACTCCCTGAACAGTTAGCTGCTCCCTCATCTCATCATTTAGCCCACACTTCTCTCTAGTAGTACTTACCTCTTGGAGTTGGAATTAGTTTATTCCCTCGCATGTTGTCTCCCAGCACATGGCACATGGGATAGGTAGCCCGTATGTATTTGCAGAATGAAAAGTCTGAGAGCTGAGGTCATACTGCCCACTGTGCTGAGCAAGGGCTAAGATAGTCCATCTGGGTTGACTGAGGGAAAGGGAAGTGAGAGGCAGAATTTACTGCCCTGTAATGTTTCTGCTACTTGGGCGAGAGGAGAGAGCCCCAAGGCCAGCGGGAGAGGCTGGGAAGTAGTGACAGGTGAAGGGCGCCCTTCTTTCCTAGGGGACTGATGTGGATGTCACTCTAGAAGTGTTCTTTCTGAGGTGATTTCATGGCATGGTATGAATGTGCACCTGTCACCTCACCCCTCAGGACAGTTTTGAACTGGTCACTTTCCTTTTAATTTTTAGATCGTCTGGTAGAATCGACTTCCTTGAGAAAAGCCATAGAAACGGTGTATGCAGCATATTTGCCCAAAAATACACACCCGTTCCTGTACCTCAGGTAATGCAGCACCAAACTCCTTACCCAAGACTCAAAACAAATTGCATCCATCTGTCCTCTTTGGAAGAGAAGGGCTTGCTAACAGCCCAATCAGAATGAAACCCACACACCACTGGCAAAGGATGTTATGTCCCTTCTCATAGGTAAAGGGCACAGTTTTCCTTCATTTACTCACTCATGTAGCAGAACCTCTGAGAGCCTCCCACGTGCCAGGATCTGTGTTACTGAAACAGAGGAGGATAACGTGTCTTGCCCCTGAACCAGGCAGAATCTGCCGGAACCTGGTGGAGAAACCCCTTCTTCCTCCAGGGTCCCTCCAGCTCCCTCTACTGACAAAGCTTCACATTGCAAAGCTCTGTTATCACAGAGCAAATGAAAGATGCTTTTGAAGCTGAAGCAATAAGTTGCTAGCTGGCACAGCCTCTAAACTGACTTTTGTATTACAATTTTAGTGATAAGTTCTCTCACATATATTCTTGTTTTGATCCTCATATAATACTGAAAATTGAGTAGGGGACAGGTTCATAGATAGTTACAGATGAGAAAAAGGATCCAGAGAAGTTAAGTGCCTTGCCCTAGATCGTGTAATAAGCAATTTCACTAGTTCTGGAGTGATGATTAATAACAGCTGACATATAATAAATGTGTCAGGTACATGCAAAGTGCTTTAAGTGATTTTAATCCCCTCCATACGAATGATGTAACTTCTCCAGAGCTACACAGCTCTTAAGTAACAGAGTCAGCATTTGAACCCAGGTTGCTCAGACTTGAAGTTTTGACCACTGTGCCATTTGGCCTCCCCAAGTCTTCTGGCCACCATAGATGCCATGTATGATTTTTTTCCCCATCCCCCACCGTCTGAGGTAATTGTTCTCTTTCTTTTTTCCTTCCAGTTTAGAAATCAGCCCCCAGAATGTGGATGTCAATGTGCACCCCACAAAGCACGAAGTTCACTTCCTGCATGAGGACAGCATCCTGGAGCGGGTGCAGCAGCACATTGAGAGCAAGCTCCTGGGCTCCAACTCCTCCAGGATGTACTTCACCCAGGTGAGGGTGCTTTCATCAGCTCTTTTTCTCATGCCTTTGCCATCTTAAAATGTGCCCCATCAGACATGAGAGCCCAGATTTTTACCTGTTGCTCTAGGACTCTTTCCAAGTGTCACTTTGATAGTTTTCTTTTAGCACCGTTTCCTTCTTTGAACCTGACTGTGAAGGAATTGTGATGTTATCCCTGGGCCTGGAGTCATAGGGCCTGAGTTCTTCTCATTCTGCCTGCATCTGGGACCTTAGATGACGTCCTAGGACAACGAGCTGTCTGAAACAGAATAGGGCACTTCTTCCATGCATTCTCCTCCACTGGAGATGTTCCAGAGGAGGCCGATCCCACATCCACAGAGCAGCATCAGGGGGTGTTGGGGCAGGGGGAGCTGGGCCACCAGGGAGGCAGTGGGACAGTGGAAAGAAATGGGCCTCTAGTGTCAGACAGACCTGGGTTACCGCCGTGTGACTGGCCTTCCCTGGCCTCCAGGTCTCCCTCAGTAAAGTTGGAACCAGTCATCCCCAAGTTCGAGGACAGTTATAAGCAGTAGGTAAACAGCAGATGGAAAGTGTCTCCTAAAGGGCCTGCCACCATTCATCTTACTAAAATTATCCAGGTTCTAAGTGCTTATGATTCCAAGCTACTCTCCCTTTCTGGGGCCTCAGTTTCCCCATCTGTAAAATAAGCAGGTGGGATAATAGGATCTCCAGTGTCCCCTCCCAGTCTTGAGATGATGTGATTCTAGGCAGCCCTTTATTCAGGTTCATCACTGAGGGTGTGTTTATCAGAAGCACAACAGGCACTGAAACTACGGAAATGGAAACATTTTCCCCATTAAATTTATAGTGGGTCTTGCAAGCAGAAAGTGGGCCTCTGTGAGACCCTGCTTCACAGAAAATTTTAGAAATTCCCAAGCGGATGAATGCTTCACTTCCCAAAGAGTGTTCACGGTTACCCACCTGGAAAGAGCCTAGGTGGGAGATGGCGTGGGCACTAACCAGTGAGATTAAACACAGTTGGGGCAGCCCCACCACCCCTGGAACCCACGCACCTGGAGATTGTTCAGGCAGAAGGGGAGTGAGTCCTGTCAGACTGCTACCGGTGACCACCTGAAAGGCCTATGTGACAGGTGGGCAGAAGGAAGATCTGCCTGGGAACCTTTCATGGGCTCCTTGTACCAACATGAGCCCCAGGTCTTGTCAAGGTAATAAGTGCACAAACCCTTGCACTGCCCGTGGACAAGCTGAGGACACACGTGCCCCCAGAGGGTTAATGGGTCTAGGGTGGACAAAGCTCTGGGAGCAGTGTCATACATAGGAAGTGCTCAAGAACTATTAGCTGGTTTATATCTGTTGTTGTTGCTCACTTAGCCTCAGTGCCCCTTTCCTGCTTCTCGTCCTCTGCCTCCCTCCCCACATATGCATTGAGACCCTTCTGTGGGGGAGTCACTGCGTTGGGTGCCTGGGGATGCAGCACAGATGGGTTCCTGCCTTCTCAGAGGCATTCACGATCTCCTAGAGAGTACATCCCACAAGAGAGCAAATCAGGGACTTGGGAGTATGTAGGAGGGGCTCCTGTCCCAGACTTGGGCAGTCAGGGAAGGGAAGGAGGGATGTGGAGGCTGGGACCCCAAGGCTGAGTAGGAAATAGCTGGGAAAAAGGAGAGGAGGGTTGAAAAGAGTGTTTCTGGCAGAGGAAACAGTGAAGATAAAGGCCTAGGGGTGCAAGAGGACATGTGTTTGAGCATCTGAAAGTTCAGCACAGTGGACCCAGCGTTCTCCACCCTGTCTGTCTTTAGAATCACCTGGGAACCTTTTAGAAAATACTGATGCCTGGGCCCTCCCCAAACCAATAAGTCAATCTCAGGCCCTAGGGCCTGGCATCAGTATTTTTTAAAAACTTCCGCATGTGCAGTTATATGCAGCCAGGGTGAAGCAACGCTGAGCCTGAGTGTTGGGGTTGGGGGTGATGACAGTGGTGACAGTTGAGGCTGCAGAGTTCAGGCCAGATAGGGGGGTTTTTGTTGGCATATTAAAGAGTTTAGACTTTGACTTGATGGGAATTAATGGGATCTGATTTGCATTTTATGAAGAACTCTGGCTGCAATGTGGAAAATGGATTGGAGAGGAGCAAGAGGGAAACCCACAGCAATTTGGGAGTAGTGAGGATCTGGACAGAGGAAGTAGCTCCATTCACTAAAAGTTGAAAATCTAGAATAGCCAGGACCTGGAAACAGGTTGGCGGGTGGGGAGTAAGAGGAAAGGCCCAAAGTGTGAGATGAAGCTGAGCAGCATGTTGCGCAGGCCAGAGTGATTGTCCTCAGTCCATCCTAGGTGAGCTCCAAGGAAACATCTGCAGAGTAGTTATGTTAATTTCTGCTTCCCAAAAGTCACCCATGGATATTGCACAGACAAAGAAAGTAAATACATTGCAAGGGTTTTAAGTTGTCTGGGAAGAAAGGTTTTCCCTTTTTGAGCACTTTAATGCTCTATTGTTTAACTCTTTATTATTGGATATTTCTAAACACACATAAAAATAGATAATACAACAAATATCCAGGTACCTATCACCCAGCTTCAACAGTCATCACCATTTTTCCCTATTTGTTTTGTCAGTTCCTCTCCCCTGGGGGTAGGAAAGGAGTATTTTAAAGTACATTCCAAACATTTATTTTTTCCTTAGTACTTAATTATGCATCTAAAATATTTTTTTCCTTGTAATCACAATGTCCTTTTACACCTAATAAAATTATAGCCAATCTATATTCAAATATCCCAATTGTCCAAAAAAGATCTTTTTATAGTAGCTTTGTTCAAAGCTACTTGAACAAGTATCAAATCAAGTTCCACTTATTATATTTGGTTGTTGTCTTTTTTTTTTTCCTTAAGGTATGCTTCTTTTGGTGAGGAAGAGTGGCCCTGAGCTGTGTTGTTATGTCTTTTAAATCTCTTTTAAGTCTCTTTGAAACTAGAAAAATCACCCTACATTTTTTGTTCTCGTGGCCTATCCTAAAGGTTCCCTGTAGAATCATGCACACTTTCAGTTGGCTGGTTGCTGCTTCTTAGTGTCGTTTAACTCGTTCTAATCCTCCATGTTTCCTGTAAACTGCAAGTTAGATCTAGAGGCACGATTATATTCAGATTTTGAAAAAAACTTTTTTCCCAAGAATTCTTGGTAGATAATACCATGTACTTTCTATCGAATCCCAGCAGGAGGCGCATGCTGACTTGTTTTGTCATTTTGATGATAAGATTCATCAGCGGGTTCAGCTGGTGACGGCCCAATTCCTTCATTGTGAAGTTTTCCATTCGTATTTAGCTTAGTGGTTTCATTGTTCATTGGTGACCATTACCAGGATCAGTTATTTAATTAGGATCGCAAGATTAGGATTTTCTGATTTTATCAGTTTATTCTGTATTAACTAACTGTAATTCTTATAGAGTTTGTTAGAGCTATTTGGTTATCCTGAAATACAGTTCATACTAGAAAGTAAGGATAAACGCTGAATTCTATCTTTTTAATTATCAATTTGCAAAGGAATGAGTTGGTGTCCTAGCAAGCTCCAGTAACGTTCGGTGACTGTTTCCTCTTTCTCTCCCTGCTTTTCTCTCCCTCTCTCTCTCCCTCTCTCTTCCTTCCTCCCTCCCCATCTTTCTCTTTCTCAGTATTTTGTCATAGTTGTTAACAAAACAATATAATTGAATCAATTATAGTCGGTTTTCTTTTTGATGCTGAAATTATCCCATCTTAGACCAATGGAGACCCCTTCAAGCTAGTGCTCTTGCCCTTTTGATCCACTTCATTGGTCGTTGATAGTTTCCTTGTTTCTGGCAAGACAAGATGTTTACTCCCCCAGCCTAAGCCCTGGAACTGGTTATTTCTCCAAGGAGCTCTGTTTATTTTAGTGGGGAGTGGTATTTAGAGACTATAATCTGGGATCAGGGGTCCTCATTGCTACTGGATAGTCATTGCTTTTAGGCCTTTCCAGCAGACAGAGCTAGGAAGTATGTATATTTTAAAACAGCAAAATGGTAGCTGCCAGGAGCTGAGGGGGAGGGGACAATGGTGAGTTATTGTTTAATAGGCATAGAGTTTCACTTTGGGAGGATGAAAAAGTTCTGGAGATGGATGGTGTCAATGGTTGCACAGCAATGTGAATGTACTTAATGTTACAGAACTGTACATTTAAAAGTGGTTAAATGGTAAATTTTATGTTCTGTATATTTTTACCATAATAAAAAAATCCGTTTGTGGCAGCAAAAAAAAAAAGTAGACAGGGGCCAGCCTAGTGGCATAGTGGTTGGGTTTGCACACTCTGCTTCAGCAGCCCCAGGTTCACAGGTTTGGATCCCAGGCGCAGACCTACACACTGCTCATCAAGCTGTTCTGTGGCAGCATCTCACATAGAAAATAGAGGAAGATTGGCATAGGTGTTAGCTCAGGGACAGTCTTCCTCAAGCAGAAAGAGGAAGATTGGGAACAGATGTTAGCTCAGGGACAGTCTTCCTCTCCAAAAAAAAAGAAGAAGAAAAGACAAAAATATGAGAACTTTACACTCATATTTCCATTTCAAACCAATTTTAAGATTAGAAGGACTTTACCGAATTTTTGAATTTTATGTTTGTATATCCTTACTTTTATACTTCAAATTTTGGTCAGAATTGTTTCTATAATAATAATTCTAAAATGATAGCTAGACCTGGTTCTAGCTTCTTTATCCAGTACTAGTACATTTTGGGAGCTGTACTTCTCTGCTTCATATTCTGAATCTTCCCACTGTTTTCTTTCTTGACACAGACTTTACTACCAGGTCTTCCTGGCCCCTCTGGGGATTCGGTTAAATCCACAGGGGGTGTGATCCCCTCATCCTCTTCTGGAAGTGGCGACAAGATTTATGCCCACCAAATGGTCCGCACAGATTCTCGGGAACAGAAGCTCGATGCCTTCTTGCAGCCTGTGAGCAGGGTTCCGTCCAGTCAGCCTCAGGCCGTTGTCCCAGAGGACAGGACAGATGCTTCTAGTGGTGGGGCCAGGCAGGAAGATGAGGAAATGCTTGAACTCCCAGACCCGGCGGAAGTGGCTGCCGTGAATCAAGGATCGAAGGGGGATGCAACAAAGGAGACTTCAGAGACGTCAGAGAAGAGGGGGCCCCCTTCCAGCCCGGGCAACCCCAGGTATGGCCTTTTGGGAGAAGTGCAGCTTGCCTCCTTTGTTCATTAATAAAACTGTCTCCTGACTTGGGCTTCTTGTGAACCACTTGCATCTTCTGTCTGTCTCACTCACCCTCTGCCTCCAGTGGGACAGAGCTGTAGCCTTGTGCACCGTCTGCCTTTGATCATGGCTTGAGAGTCACTCACCACAGTGGGCTTTGAAATATCTTAAATGTCTGTGATTCCAAGTATTAGTTAAAAAGACATCAGGAAAAAAATCAGAAGATTTATCCTTCATTTTTAGCAATGACTTTTGATAAAGCCTCAATAGCAGAGGTGGCTGGAGAGAGAAGCCTAAAATATCCAGAGGATTCTTGTTCATCCTACTCAGCTGCTTTCATTCCTTTTGGAAGAAACATACTTTCTCAGTTCAGATTATGGAACTCCGTGAAGCACATGAGAGTGTGGTGAAAGAGAGCTAGAGAAAGGGGCAGGAACAATAATAATGACCATCGTTTAATTTTGAGCATTTCCAGTATACAGTCTCCAGGCTCTTTAAAGACATCTCACTAAAATCTGTGAGGTGGATATTGATTATTTAACGTGTGCAGGGACTGAACCTGGAGCTCAGGGTGAAGTCGTTTGTCCACTGCTGCACATCCACTTGGTGGCTGAGCACCAGAACCCTGGCACTCCTGGCCGTTAGAACTTGGACATGTTACTTAACTCCGGTTTACTCATCTCCGAGTCAGTCTAGTTGTCTTGCTAGATTACATCTTACATACGTTATCTCACCTAATGCTCTTAACAGCCCTGCAGGAGAAGGATTGCATTTCTGTTTATCACTTGTGGAACTGACACCATGGGCCGTTTACCACACAGCAGTCAAAGAAACCTCTTTAAACCAGAAGTCAGATTGCATCACTCCTCTGCTGAAAACCAGTGGCTTCCCACTGAGCTGGGGTTAAACCCCGCTGCCTCCCTCCAGCCCGCCACCTCCCCTCTCCCTCGTGGTGCTTTGGCCACACTTCTCTTGTGGCTGAACTCACTGAGCTGCTTACCCGCTTTGCTCTCACTGTTCCCTCAGCCTAGGAAGACCCTGGCTTCTTGTCACTTGGGTCTCAACTCAAATGTCACCTCTTACCAGAGGCCTTCTTTGTCCTTGTTTTATTTTCTTCGTAGCATTTGTTGCTAATTAAAATGATCTTTTTTTCTGCTGCTGTTTGACACCCCCACTGGAAAGTAAGCCTTGTGAGGGCAGGCACCTTGTCAGTCTTGTTCATGATGTTATACCACTGTCTGATGGGTGGACAGATGGAGGACTGAATGGAGGAGGCTTGGCGAGGTCAGCTCACTTGCTCAAGGCCTGCAGCCCTCAGGGCCGAGCTGGACTCAAAGTCCTGTGTGCAGTAGGCCACACTGAGATCTGAGGGTTGTCGCATAAGCAGTGTGCCGGAGAATACACTGATCTTGCTGGGCTGCCACCAGGACAGGGACCCCCCCTAGGTGCAGGGCCAGCCAGAGAAGCTGCTTCCTTCTCCAAAATGCAATACACACAGTTTGGCTGAGTTAAAAATAATAATAATAAAAAAGAATAGTAATGATCTGCCCGTTCCTTATCTTCTTTGCAGAAAAAGACATCGAGAAGGCTCTGATGTGGAAATGGTGGAAGGTGATTCCAGAAAGGACATGACAGCAGCTTGTACTCCCCGGAGAAGGATCATTAACCTCACCAGTGTTCTGAGTCTCCAAGAAGAAATTAATGAACGGGGACATGAGAGTACGTAAGTGCCAAGGTCTGCCTGGGACCCCAAGGGCCAGAACTGCTAATGTGAAGCTTTTGGAAATGCAGGAAGCGTTTATGTCAGGGCGGTCACTGCAGTGTGCTGAGCAAACCTCCCTTCCTTTACTAATCCGCAGCAGCAGCAACTTAAAGGTGATTTTCAATTGAGAGGAAAGGGGAAAAAATAGTCTCTGGTTTTAATTAGAAGTAATCAGTTTTCTCATTAAACCGTAGGAGCTAAAGTAGCCATTTAAATAATCTTCAGTTTGTTTTTGTTTTAGCTGAAAGAAGTGTAATGATCAGCAAAATTCTAATCCTGTGGCCTGAATGGGGTGTGCTATTGCTAAAGGTGCACAGGCTCCCGAGGGCCCTGAGTTCGTGTCCTGGCACTGTCACTTCTGTGTGACCTTAGACTCATGACTTTACCTTTCTCTACCTCAGTTTTTCCTCGTCTGTAAAATGAGATTGACTTTTCCCTTGAAGATTATTGTGCTGATTAGAGAGAAAATGTAAGTAAAACACTTGTTACGGAGTAAGAAATCAATAGATATTTTTATATCCTGGAGACAAAATTATAAATCATTATCATCTTCCTCAGAAATAGCTTTTGGGAATACGAGAGTGTAGAACTCCATTTTGATCCCTGTTAATTCAAAACTAACTTTTTGGTTTTAGAAATTAAAAAAAGTCACCTCCCAGGGATGAGCTGATGCAGGGACTGAGATGCACAACAGCGACTCGGCCCTGGCAACAACCCTGTCCCCACTTGATGAGTCAGACACGCCTGCTCCAAGTGTAGACCTCCTTGCCGGGGACTCCAGAGGGCAGCTCTGCACTTCAGTCTACTCAGTTCAGCTGGGGCCTCTCCATTTTTCAGCCATTACACATTTCTTGATTAAAATAGCTGAATTTCAACACTGCTATAAAATATATCTTAAAGTATGACAATCGGGATTAACTTTCAAAGGGAATGAGTGGCTGAGGAGCAATTCAGTACCTTTCCACTAATCCCTAACCATCTAAAAAAGCTGTTGTGACTCAGTGGCCTCTCACAGTTTCTCTGTGTCTCAGTCTCAGCTTGTTTGAACGAATTCAGGAAGGCCTCTCTTTGTCCTTCCTTGTTTGTTCTCTTTTCGTAGCTCTCTGGGCCTTTGTCTCCACGGCGGAAAGGGATAGGGTGTCCCCACACTTGGGAAGGGGAGAGACTTCCTGGGACTAGGGTTCCACCACTTGTGGAAGTAGCTGCCACTTGGCTTCTGACTTTTGTTTCCATAAGATTTTCTCTGGGAGCTCTTTCCCTCTCTTACTGGCTTTCACACTAGGAGCTTTTATTTTTTATTTTATTTTTTTTAAAGATTTTATTGTTTTCCTTTTTCTCCCCATAGCCCCCCGGTACATAGTTGTATAGTCTTCATTGTGGGTCCTTCTAGTTGTGGCATGTGGGACGCTGCCTCAGCGTGGTTTGATGAGCAGTGCCATGTCCGCGCCCAGGATTCGAACCGACGAAACACTCGGCCGCCTGCAGCGGAGTGCACGAACTTAACCACTCGGCCACGGGGCCATCCCCGCTGGGAGCTTTTAAAACCATTCTAAATAATATAAGACAGGTGGGCTGTTACTCCGTTTATTTAGCACTCTTCCTCCCAGTCATTTAATTGACAGACTCCCTCAGATTGGGAATTTACTGAGTGTTTTTTAAGGGTTCATACCTCTCATGCGAGGCACACTATTTAAAGTTAGAATTTCAGTAAGTTCTGAATATAATTTCAATAAGTGGCAGGCTATTTTCAGTGCAGTCTAAAACTAACCTGCATCAAGTTTGGTCAGGTTTGGAGTCCATTTTTGAGGCTAGGGTGATGAATCTAAATGTTCTAAAATTGTACATTCATGCACGTTATCTCATTTAATTCTAGAATAGTCTTGTGAGGGAGGCAGAGCAGCTGCTGTTGTCTCTACTTTAAAGATGAGGAAAATGGAATAGAAGATGGAGAGAACAGAGTAGTTGAAACATCTCGACCATCAAAAGCAGGCTCAGTACATGCCTTGTTGGGCGTGGGGTGTAACGGGCACGGCCTGCATGCAGGGGGGCTAGCCCAATATTTAGATGCAAAACCAGGTCAGCTGCCTATGCCAGGCGAGCGCACCGTGTGGTTCTGGTCCCTTCAACGGAAGCTGGTGTTTTCCCGCACACCGCCAGTGTCGGGCCTTGCAGAGGAAGTAGCTGTCTGTTATGGGGAGTAGAGTGAGCACTTCCTTTGGAGCCAGAAGAACTCCACTGCAGCTCCTGCCAGCTACACCATTGAGTAGCCAGTCGGAAATTGGTTCAACTTTTTTGGCATCCTTTTCCTGCTCTGTGAAATGATGTTACTGCTCCAGCCCTTATTAGGCTGTTGTCGTGAATACCTAAGATGTGGTGTGTGTGCTTTGTAATCCCCAAGGCACTGTTTAGGGGGGGACCTCTGCCTTGGGTCCTGCCCGTTGGCATCTGGTTCACACCCTGAGCACAAGCAGGGCAGGCTGATTGTCTGGGTTGAATACTGTACAGGGATTTCTCTGAAGCTCGGATTTGGTGAGGTGGGCCACTCACCTTAACAGACCAGCAGCCTCGCTGCTCCCCCGTGGCATTGTGCCCCTGTCCCAGGGAAGAAGTGAGAGATACTTTCCTGGTGACGACATTCCTAGTGGCACTGATTTGTGTGGTTATTTCATCAGCGTATTGTCTCTGCAGAGATCGTGTCTGTTGAGCTCGCCGCTTTATCCAGTGTGCCCAGTAGAGCGTCTGGCATGTGGACTCAGTAGATATTTGCTAAAGGAGTGAATAAATGAGAGGAGCAGCCTGGGTGGTGAAGTCCTAGAATCTTTATTCTGAAGGGGATGTCGAAGTTGCACACTCAACCAGACAGCTCTCTTGAATTGGGTGGACTTACCGTGGGCACACTGTCAGTTAACAGGAGGTTAATTTTGGAAGGCCCAGTATCCAGTCAAGTGCTCCATGGAACTAGGCTCATCTCAGGATTAGTAGTGACTGAACTTACCTATTGCTAGTCCCATAATTTTGATCTGTTAACTAATGAGGACAAGGAATGTCATAAGTTAAAGATATTTGCTATCACTTGAATGTGAAATTGTGCTGAACATTTTATCTTGGCCTTTGGTGAACAGTCTTGGGTCTAACGGTGCATCCTCTTCTGTAGTTTGTCACCACATGACAGTTTCTTTTGGTACATGAAATCAGTTCACATTTGTCAAGTATCTTCTCTACAAAACGTGCTGTGCCATTCCGAGGCAGAACATGGGATAAACGAGCCATGACCCTGCCTTGAAGGCGCCACGGTGTTGTGGCGATTGTTTAGTAAATAACCGGCTGCAGCAGAAGGTAGGCTGAGACATTGGGTAACGGAGGTGGAAGGCTGCTTCAGCAGAACCCAGGCGAGATCTGCCCAGGAGGGCTTCTTGATCATCTCAGGCGACAGCCTCAGGCGCTGGCGTCAGGCAGGCCGTCCAGCAGGGCGAGGAGCTTCTACCCTCCAAGTGGCCATTAGGAACTAGAGGAGTGGTTGCCCTTTCCTTCGGGTTTGGCTTTCCTCCCTGCTTCTTGGAAACAACGTGCTGAGACCCGGTGGCTCTGTTGTGAACTCAGATGTGTGGTTTGGCTTTGAAGCACAGAAGGATTTTGTCCCATTTTGCTGCTGGTAGAATGTCAGGGAAATGCCCACAGACTTCTAGTGCCAAGGGGATGGGGGAGGAAGAAATAAAGGTTCTTGAAGTCCTGATAAGAGGTCTCAGTAGCCTCAGGAAGCCGGTGAAGAAAAGCCCTGCTCGTCTTTGTTGGTTTCCTGCCTGTTTGAAAGAGCAGCTCTGGGAGGGGCCCCTGTGCCCGTGAGCGGACGCTGCCTCCCGCGCTGCCCTTGCTGGCGAGGCTGCACTTCGGGAGCTGTGGATGCGGCGGAGCGTTCCATGAACAGTCTGTGGAAAAATCTCTGACCCTCTTTAGTAGATTACACTGCTTTCTCTTTCCTCCAGTGCCTCATTATTCAAGATTATTTGATGTTCTCCAGCTTTTAAAATAATCATTTTCCGCCTACGCAGAACATCCTGTAGAGACATTGAGTTTCCAGTGGGAGCAGAGGGGAACGCTTATTCTAAAAAGGAGGAAAATAAGCGTCTTTTTATGGGGAGAGGGAGAGTGTTGCAGAACTTATGTAACAAAATGAGGATTCATTTGTGGAACCCAAGCTTAAAATAAAAGGATAGTGAAAATATGATGTGTACAGGCTTATTGCTGTCCCCAGACCCTTGTCTTGTCGTCTCCAACCCCACTTTTCCACCCCCCTTTATGGTGGTGCTGGTTTTACTTCTTTCATAGAAAACATAGACAGATATATTAGTAAATACAAAATCATACTTGTAAATTATACGTAGGATCAACAGAAAAAAACAGACGAACACCTGCTTAAAGAAAAAGAACATTCCGTCACCTCTGAAGCTCCTGTGTGCTTCCCTGTCCCATCCCGTACCCCTCCTCCCTGAGGGGTAACTATGACCCTAAATTTTGTGATTATTTCCTTCCTTTTTATTATAGTTTTACCACCCATATTTGTAGCCGTCAAAAGCTTACTGTTTAGTTTTACAAGTTTTAAGTTTTATATAAATGGAATTATACTGTATTTTTCTGATATGTGTGTGTGTGTGTATATATATATATATATATAGTACACATGCGTGCATCTGCGTACGTTCCTAAAATTCACCTGCCGTTATGCTCTGGTTTACTTTTTCTGTGTGACAGATTCCATTTCGTGACCATACTGCATGTTCATTCATTCATTCTGCATTGAGGGACATTTGGAAGACTCATAGCCTCAACCCTGCCTGTCACACTTCACCCCCTTTCCCAGACATGAGGGGCTCAAGAGCTTGGCATGCTGGCTGAGAAGCTCTGCCACACGGTACATACTTAGGAGAGTTACTGCTGGGTCATAAAGTAGCACTGTTTTCCAAAGGGGTCATCTGAATGTAGTCCCACCAATGTGAAGAAATTGCATTTGCTGTACCTTTTCTCCAATATTTGGTTATTGTCAGACTTTTTAACTAGTTTGGTGTTTATGAAGTGGTATCTGGTGATGGGTTTTATTTGTATTTCTTTGGTTAATGATAAAGTTGAGTAAGTATATTTCTTCTTCTGTTAAGTGCCTATTTAAGGTTTTTGCCCATCTTTTGGTTGGGTTATTGTTTTTTTTCTAACTGACTTTGCGAGTTCTTTATATATTCTAGATATGATCAGTTACCTGAAAACATCTTCTCCCAGTTTAGGGCTCATCTGGGTTTTTTTAATGAACACTTGTTTTATAAACAAATTCTTAGATTTAATATAGGCAGATTTTATGAATTGTTCTTTACAGATTCGCTTTTTTCATCTCATTTAGGAAACCCTTCCCAGCTCTGGGATAATTAAAGACATGCTTTTATATTGTCTCCTAAAATGCGTTCACTGACAGCTCTAGTCTACCTGGAAGCCCTCTTTGGTGTGTGGTGTTAGATCCACAGTTTCGATGCGGATTTCAAATGTTTCGTTTACATTGTTGTTTGCAGTTTGTTTGGATTTAGCAAATATTATTTGCTCATAGTTCTTTCCCTTAGACTGTTCATAATCCGCCTGAAGCACATCCTTTAGTGGGGCATTGGGTGAATAAATGAGTTTTCCTTTGTCTAATTCATCGTTACTTTGAAAAGTTTTTTTGCTGGATTTAAAATTCTAGATTGGCAATTATTTTTTCTTAGTGCATTGAATGTGTTATTTCATCATGTTCTGGCTTCTGCTGTTGCTGCTGAAAATTCAGCCATGAATGTTTTGTGGGTAATCTCTTTTTTGTCTCTGAGTGCTTTTAAGGTCCTGCAGCATCTCTGTGTGTCAGGTGTGGATTTTGTTGGGCTTCCTAGAGCTGAGGCTTGGTGTCTTTCGTCACTTCTGAGATATTCTAGATATTTTGTCCTCAAAGTCTTCAAATCTGGGGCCTGCCGGGTGGCGCAGAGGTTAAGTGTGCATGTTCCACTTTCATGGCCCGGGGTTCGCCGGTTCAGATCCCAGGTACGGACACAGCACCACTTGGCAAGCCATGCTGTGGCAGGCATCCCACATAGAAAGTAGACGAAGATGGGCATGGATGTTCGCTCAGGGCCAGTCTTCCTCAGCAAAAAGAGGAGGATTGGTGGCAGATGTTAGCTCAGGACTAATCTTCCTCAAAAAAAAAGTCTTCAAATCTTGTTTCTCCCCCTAGTCCCCACCCCTTCTGGAACTTGAGTCATAGTATATTTATTATCCTGTAGATTGTGTAAGCTGATTTCATGTTTTCCGTCTCTTTCTCTGTGCAGCATTCTGGATAATTTCTTTACATCTACCTTCCAGTTAGTTACCTTGCCAACTTTGTCTAATCTGTTGTTAAGTCTGTCTTGATTTTTTAATTTCAATTATTATATTTTTCATTTTTAGAAATTTTATTTGGTTTTTTGGAAATCTCCTTGATCATTTTTTTTCCCTGCTTACATTTATTTTATTTTGAAATAATTTCAGACTTAAGGTTGCTGGGACTGGCCTGGTGGCATAGTGGTTAATTTTGCATGCTCCACTTTGGTGGCCCATGGTTTGTGGGTTCAGATCCCAGGCATGGGCCTACATACCACTCATAAAGCCATGCTGTGCCAGGGTCCCACAGAGAAAATAGAGGAAGATCGGCACAGATGTTAACTCAGCAACAATCTTCCTGAAGCAAAAAGAGGAAGATTGGCAATAGATGTTAGCTCAGGGCCAATGTACCTCACCTCAAAAAAATAAATAAATAAAAAAGAAAGTTGCCAAATCAATACAAAGAATTCATGTTCACTTTCATTCAGATTCCCAAAAATGTTGCATTTCATCCTATTTTCTTCATTCTTTCTCTTGCCACAAATATCTTTTCTGAAGCATTTGAGAATAAGTTTCTGAATTATTCTCTTACCCATAAATGCTTCAGTATGTATTTCCTGAAATCAAAGGGGATTGTCTTATGTAACCACACATGATTATGAAAATCAGGAAATTGACATCAATGCAGTACCATTATGTAATTTATAGATCTTATTCAAAATTGGCCAGTTATCACACTAGTGTTTTTGTTTTTTTGTAAAGATTGGCCCTCAGCTAACATCTTTTGCCAATCTATTTTTTTTACTTCTTCTCCCCAAGTCCCCCCAGCACATAGTTGTATATTCTAGTTGTAGGTCTTTCTAGTTGTGCTATGTGGGACGCCACCTCAGCATGGCCTGATGAGCGGTGCTAGGTCTGCACCCAGGATCTGAACCGATGAAACTCTGGGCTGCCAAAGTGGAACGTGCGAACTTAACCACTCAGCCACGGGGTGGGCCCACACTAATGTTTTTTATAGCAAGAGAAAAATTGTCTGGAATGCAGTCCCCCACCACGTGTTGTATTTCATTGTCCTGTTCTTGATCATTTTTGATCGTTTCCTCTACTTATTCATTGCTTTAATGCCCCTTAAGCATACTGAACATACTTAGTTTATCTTCTTTGCTTATATTTCCAATCTCTGAAACCTTTGCAGATAAGATTCTGTGGTTTCTTCTGGATTCTAATTCTTGGTGTCTTGGTTTTTTGTGTGTTTTGTAATTTTTTGACTGCTGGTTCCTGGTAGTTTATCTCTGGAGAATTATTTGAAGCCTGGATTGAAGATGAATTTCTCCAGAGAAACTCTGCACTGGATTCTGTCAGGGCCCTGGAGGAACAGTCAGTCCTGGAATCAGTTTAAACTAAAATCTCGAGTTAAGGTTTTCAGGCAGCCTGCTTAGTGCGAATCCTGGCTGCAAAAGCACATGAGGACTTGCTTATGGTTATGAATTCTCAGGGTGTAAATTTTTTCTTTATTCCCAACACCAAGGCTTGAGGCGGGTGGGCAGTTTTGCTTACTGCCCTTTGAGGGGGACGAGAGTGGCCATGGGACGTGTTAGCTTTCTTTTCCTCCACACTGAGGGTACACCTTTGAGCTTGTCTTAGCTTCATATGTTGGGGAAGTGTTCTCCTATTAGACACTCCGTTTCAAACCATTCCTGGATTTTGTTTTTCTTTGTCCACACCTCAGAGCCTACAAAAACTAAAGTTCATGCTTCTGAGGTTCCTCTGGTGTCTGGGCTAACGCTGGCTTCAGAGCTCTCATTGCTTCTCTGGCTTCCTGCCTTGTTTCTTGGGTTGTGATCTTTGAGTATTCCTTCATCTTTTGGCAATTCCTTGTTGCATTTTGAATGATTAGTTATATTCGTGTTTGTTTCAGCGAGAAGCTCAGTTCAGGCATCTTTGCTTGTCTGTGGTCTGCAGTGCTGGTGCCTGGTGCTTTGGGGTGCAAGGGGTGCTGGTGGGATGCTGCCATCACTCACCTGTTGTTTGTTTTCCAGCTCTCCGGGAGATGCTGCATAACCATTCCTTTGTGGGTTGTGTGAATCCTCAGTGGGCCTTGGCACAGCATCAGACCAAGTTATACCTTCTCAACACCACCAAACTTAGGTAAGTCAGTGAGTACGAGACAAAAGCAGATCTGTTAGAAGAATGTCCTGGAAGCAGAGGCACAAACAGCGGGGGAAAGCAGCTTGACATATTGGGAAGGGCCCACGCTTTGGAGTCAGACAGATGTGGTTTCAAATCTAGGCTCAACCATTTACCATTTATGGGACCAAGGACAAGTCACTTTCCTAAACTCTGTCCTAGATTTCTTATCTGTAAATTGGGATATTACTACTGAACTTTTGTGAGAATAAGAAATGACAGGAGAAACCTAGTGCTTGGTAGGTACTCAGTGCTCAATAAATGTTGGCTGCTGTGAGCCAGGTGTTGAGGGCTTAGTGCTGATAGAGAATTCTAACATCTACAGGGTGCAACCGGGTACTGTGGGGGATGCAAAAGAAAGAAGACCTGATGCCTCCTTTCCTCCCCACCTGGGGAGTGTAGCAGAGGCTTACGCCAGCCACCAAGTGAGCCAGTGGGTGTATGAGCACAGGAAGGGGAAGCCTAGCAAAGCCGTCTGCCCAGTGCATAGCCGATGACATTTCATGGATTGTTTCCAGGGACCTTGGTGGATGAGCTCCTTTTGAGTCTAGAACTGATATTAAATATGTTCTGAAATTCGTAGTACAAATCGGAGGGTGCTGCCACTTGCATCTACTAGACATCACTTGTCCATTGTGTGACTCTTTCCCACTAAGCCATGCTCTGGCCTCACAGTGCTGCTTGGCCCTGTGAGTGGGGCCACAACGATATGTAGCTTGGAGTTGGCACACAAGATAAAAACCTATTTGATCTCCCTGTGTTAGAACCTGCCCAGTCCAGAAGCTTACTGTTGACATACATATTTCCTTGGATATTCAGAATTCATTCCTCCGAGGCTTGCAAATCTTTTTGGTGCAGCTCTGTTCAAGGTCCATTGTCCTTGCTTTGAGAATCCTTGGACTTGCACAGACTCGTATTAATTTGTTGGGAATTTTCTCTTCCAGCATATCTAAGTGCATGATTTCCAAGGCTCCAAATCACAGTTGTGTTCAAGTTCTTTCATTTTACACATATAAATCCAGGCCAGTCTCCGAATTTCAGCTTTTAATAAATGTGAATGCTTTCCCAGTGAGAAGGTAAAGAAACAGAGAGAACCACATTCAGAGTGCAGTGTCTAGCTTCAACTCCTTCCTTTCCAACTTTACTAACTGACCTGGGACAAGGCAGTACTCACTTGGTGCCTTAGTTTCCCCACCATAATGCAGGCATAGCAGCTGCTTTATCTGCTTTGATAATGAAGTCTTTCAACAAGACCTATATAGCTCACATGGCTTTAAGAACTATAAAGTACCGTTTATTTCAGTTCTTTGTTTTTGTAAGTAGTTCAGTATATTGAATTCTACTTCACAGATGCTTTTGGAATGTTGCCAGCCAGTGAGTGCATCAACCTAAACGATATACTAGTGCGGTCTAATCCCACCTTATGTCCACTTCTGATTATTTAGGAAGTCTCCCTGCCCTCCCTGTATATTCCACATCATTTTTAATGGTGAGTTGTAAAAAAAATAAAAGTGATGTATAGGATTCTTTGTAAGTAGGGAAAAGGTAAGCAAATAAAACTCCTTAAATTTCACTACAAGGTGTCAGAAACCTTTTACAGCCCCAGTAGGGTGAGGACAGAGCATGAGTGATAACAAGCCAGACTTTTTCTCCATGCCCTGTTGTGTGTGTGGAGGCCGGCCAGCCGAACCCCGGCTGGAGCCACGCGGGAATCCCAGCCCTCTGAGGAGTGGATCTCGGGAGACTGTTAAAAAGGGTAACAAAAGGCAGAACCGTCTCCTTGTCCAATCCATGTTTCGGGGGTTATTTCTCCCCTTTTCTCCCTACTGCTTGGCTCTCAAGCATGGGTTCAGCTTTTCCTTAAAGTCGCTTCATTTTCATTTGCAGTGAAGAACTGTTCTACCAGATACTCATTTATGATTTTGCCAATTTTGGTGTTCTGAGGTTATCGGTAAGTTCATTTCCTGCTTCTCATTTCTGAAACTCCAACAGCTGGTCATTTCTGAAAATAATAGCTCCACTAATATCTTATTTGTAGCATATTAAATTTTTCTAAATATGCTTAGGACAGTTTATTATATGATTTGCATATAGAAGTATTTTTAATTACAATATAGTTTTATACAAAGCAGAATAGTCATTTGGTAACCAACTTAAATAAATGTTTATTATTATTATAGAAATCAATACATATCTACTTAAGAAAACTTGGAAAGAGATAAAAATAGAAATAAACATTCTCTAAAGCTCTCACCCAAACACAACTCCAACTAACGATTTTAGTCCATTTCTTCCAAGAGTTTTTCATTGCCTAATTTTAATTTAGAGTTAACTTTATAATATCTATGTAGTTTCATATCTTCTTTTTACATTTGACATACTCTACAAAAAAGCCTTCTGCAGGTTTTTTTGGGATTGTGTTGAAACTATAGATCGATTTGGGGAGAAAATCTTTTGTTAGATTTATCCCTTAGTATTTCACACTTTTTGATGCTATTATAAATGGCATTTTAAAAATTTTCCAATTGTTTGTTGCTAGTATATAGAAATACGGGGCCAGCCCGGTGGCACAGCTGTTAAGTTCGCACGTTCTGCTTCTCAGTGGCCCTGGGTTCGGTGGTTCAGATCCCGGGTGCAGACATGGCACCACTTGGCAAGCCATGCTGTGACAGGCGTCCCACGTATGAAGTAGAGGAAGATGGGCACGGATGTTAGCTCAGGGCCAGGCTTCCTCAGCAAAAAGAGGAGGATTGGCAGTAGTTAGCTCAGGGCTAATCTTCCTCAAAAAAAAAAAGAAATACAAGTGTTTTTGTATATTCATCTTGTATCTTGCAACCCTGCCAAATTCATTTGTTAGTTCCATCTGATTTTCTACATAGATAATCATAGCATCTGTGAATAAGAAGAGTTTTATTTCTTCCTGTCCAATCTGGATGCCTGTCCTTTTCTTCTCTTGCCTGATTGCACTAGCTAGAACACTGGTACAGTGTTGAAAAAAGTGGTGAGAATGGAAATCCTTCTCTTGTTCAAATCTTAGGGGAGGGCATTCAGTCTTTCTGCTCTGGGTAGGTTATTTCTAGTTGCCCCTTATGAGGTTCAGGAAGTTCCCTTCTAATCCCTGTTTGCTTAGTTTTTATTCAGGAATGGATGAATTTTTTCAAATGCTTTTTCTTCATCTGTTAAGATAATTAGATGGTTTTTCTTTTTTAGTTTGTTAATGTAGTGAGTTACATTGATTGATTTTCATAAATTAAACCAGTCATGCAGTCCCAGGATGAACCCGGCTTGTATATGGTATATTATCGTTTTTATATATTTTTGGAATTGATTTGCTACAATTTTATTTACAATTTTTACATTTATGTTCACGAATGATACTGGTTTGTCGTTTTCTTTTAGTTTCTTTGTCTGGTTTATACTGGTCTTATAGTGAGTTGAGAAGTAGCTGTCTTTTCCATCTTCTGAAAGAGTTTGTGTAGAATTGGTGTTTATTCCTTAAATGTTTGGTAGAATTCACCAGTGAAGCCTTCTGGGCCTGGAGATGTCCTCATAGGAAGGTTTTTAACAAAACTTCTATTTCTTTTGTAGATACAGTGCTATTCAAGTTAACTTTTAACTCTTGAATGAGCCTTGGTATTTTGTTTCTTCCAAGGAATTTGTCCATTTAAATTTCCAGATTTATTGGCATGAGGTTCATAATATTTTTTATTATTCTTTTAATGTCTGTAGGTCTGGAGTGATGAACCTCTCTCATTCCTTATATTGGTAATTTATGTCTTTTTAATTTGATCACTCTGACTAGAGGTTTGTCAGTTTTGTTGATCTGAAAGAAGTGACTTTTGGTTTCAATGATTTTTCTCTATTTTTCTGATTTCTATTTCACTCATATCTGCTCTTATCTTTATTATTTCCTTTCTTCTGCTTATTTTAGGTTTAATTTGCTCTTCTGTTTCACGTTTCTTAGGGTGGAAGCTGAGGTCACTGATTTGAGAGAGTTTTTCTTTTCTAATACAGGTGTTAAATGCTATGAATTTCCCCTCTGTGCTGCTTTAGCACCTTCCCAGATTTTGATAGTTTCCATTTTCTTTCAGTTTAGAATACTTCCTGATTTCCCTTTTGATTTCTTCTTTGACCCTCAGGTTATTTAGAAATGTTATTGAGCTTCCCCTTATTTGGGGATTTTCCAGAGATCTGTTAGATTTTTAATTTAATTCTATTTTGGTCAGAGAACATACTTGAATCCTTTTACACTTATTTAGACTTGTTTTATGGCCCAGAATATGGTCCGTGTTGGTAAATGTTCCATGAGCACTTAAAAAGAATTTGTATTTTGGTCTTAGTGAGTAGAATGTTCTATAAAGAGCAAGTGTATCATGTTGAGAGCGATGCTCAAATCTTCTATATCCTGATTCTGTCTACTTATTCTATCAAATACTGAGAAAGGTATTGAAACCTGCAACTATAATTGTGAATTTGTCTTTTTCTCTCTGAAGTTCTGTTGGTTTTATCCTTTATATATTGTAAAGCTCTGTTGTTGAGTATATCAACATTTGAGTGTATCCTAAACATTTGTTTAGGATTGTCAGGTCCTTTTGATTAATTGACTCCTCTATTAGTGTACTGTGGGTTTATAACATGTAAAAGTAAAATATATAACAGTAACAATGTCACAAGAGGAGAGATGAAAGAAGATTTAGGCATGTTATTTTTAACAATAGATTTCAATCTTCTTCCTCATCAGATGATTTACTGAAATGCTACTTATTTTCCCTCCCCCTTTAGTTATGGGTAAGGCAATAGGAAGAAATGAATGATCTGCCTAATGATTTTCTAGAAACATGAAAGTAAGTGGAGTCTTTAAAGCTAACACAAAGGGAAAGTGCCTCCTCACAGCCTTACTCTTGCCACGTGTTCAGCAGGCTTTTTGTCACATCTTCTCTGTTGAAATGGCCATTGATGAGGAGGAGGAAGAGGTTTTGATGTTGATTTTCAGGTGTTTTCTTTGGGGGAGATGGAGAATGTGTGTTAGATTTGTGGTTTTCTCTCCTGCTGCTGTGATCATGGTTTTGTGGTTAATAGTAGTTTTATGGGAATTCTGGCTTCATTTGGATGCCCTGTTAATGCTTGCTCCTTAATGTTCTTGCTTCCTCGTAGGAGCCAGCACCACTCTTTGACCTCGCCATGCTCGCCTTAGATAGTCCCGAAAGTGGCTGGACAGAGGAAGATGGCCCCAAAGAAGGACTTGCCGAGTACATTGTTGAATTTCTGAAAAAGAAGGCTGAGATGCTTGCAGACTATTTCTCTTTGGAAATTGATGAGGTGTGTGACAGCCATTTTTATGCCCCTGTTGTATTCATCAGGTAAGAGTCAAGTTCTTGTAGTTGGGCCAAGATCAGGAGGAAATGGCTGCCCCACTCCCCCAGAAACAGCATATGACATATTGACATCTTCGCTCCCTATTTGCATCTCTAGGTTACACAACTGTTTTATCATCCATTCGTGTCCATTCCTGTTCCCAGGGTGAAGGACCCAGACACAAGGGAGAACTAAATCCTCCGGTCCCTGCAGGCCACAGTGAATGAGATTATGCTGAGCCACTTGCTCTCCCTGTGTCTTTGTCTTACCCCTTGATCTTTGGAGCTTTGCTTCTTGATATAGTCTTTGGTTGGTGAACAGATCCAAGAAAAAAGTTGATCTGCTGCATGTCAGGACAAAAAGCTCTCTTTTAAGTGCTTAGCTTTCTTGCCCCCAATGCCCAGCCCAGTCAAGCCCCTGGTCACCCAGAATGGCAGGTAGGAGGACAAGACCTAGAGGAGACACCGGGGAAGTGGAATTTATTTAAGTTAAACTGTAATGGCATTATTTCTTGTCTCCTTGTCCTGGCCTTTTTCCACAAGCAGGAAGGGAACCTGATTGGATTACCCCTTCTGATCGACAACTATGTGCCCCCTTTGGAGGGTCTGCCTATCTTCATTCTTCGACTAGCCACTGAGGCAAGTAATCAAGCCAATACTAAGTATGTGGGTATGTGAGTGCGTGGTAGAGAGAGAAGGCACATGGCCATGACTTCATTTGGAATGATAAAGAAGGAAAGGGTAAAACAGCTGAAGGACTCCTCATATCCTCACCTACCCCCAGCAATATTTAGCAGTTCCAATTTTCAGCTTTAATACCCAGAAAGTCACGTTTAGTTTTTAAGTAGTCTGTGATCTCCACTTAGAAACGAAGTGTGTTTAATGCATGTACCTGTATTGAGGTATTCAATTCTCTCTTTGGACCAGGTGAACTGGGATGAAGAAAAGGAATGTTTTGAAAGCCTTAGTAAAGAATGTGCTATGTTCTACTCCATCCGGAAGCAGTATATATCTGAGGAGTCAACCCTCTCAGGCCAGCAGGTACTGTGGGGGTCACGTTGGCACACCAGTACTGGGATGAGCCCTCACACAGCTCATCTCTAAATTTCTTGGATTTCACTGCACATAAAGTTTAAACATAGTAATCGGTGTTTATTCATGAGTTTTTATTTCCTTCTGCTGGTTTAGAAAGTACCTCCAGAGTGATCTCACTGTCAAATGTAAAAACATAAGCCATCGCAGTGAGAAATGGGAGGCTGAATTAGACTGTGCAGGGCTAGCGAGCCCGTGTCTGCCGCTGTTAGCCCTTAAATGTGTAGCCACAGTCTTTAGATTCTGGGTCAGTCCCCACAGTGTCTTTTAGCTTTTGCCTTACTCTACGTCTGATCACTGCTTTGCCAGGAAAACAGGGCTGTACTGAGGTCAGATCTCCAGCTCTTCTTACAGAAGATCAGCTTGACACAAAAAGGGCCGGGGTTCCTCGTGTTTCTGTGTCACTTTTTCCAATCAGATGACACTGCTTTTCACTCAGCTATTTCGAGGTTTGGTTGGGGGTGGAGAGGGCATTGAAATAGTGTAAGAAACAAAGGGTAGCCACTTTACATACATAACCATCTCAGTGAATGCTTACAGTTGTCCTCTGAGGTGAAGTGATATGCTCGTTTCACAGGTGAGGAAACTAAGGGACAGTTGGCATGCTCAGGGGTTCCCAGAGCCTGTAGTGGTGGAGCAGAAATTCAGTCCTAGGTCCTGTTGGCCAAAGCCCCTAGGGAATATCTCATTCCCGTGGAGGGGGCAGGGTAGCAAACTGTGCTGAGAGAATCATTTGATTGAAAAAATTTACTTCAAGGAAAGCATGAATGAGAAGGAACGTTTTCTTGTACGTGAAACAACTAAGGCTTAGATATAGGGGAGGAGCAGTGAAGCAAAATAATCCTCATTGTTTTTATTTTCATTTCTTACCTGTGGAGCTCTCTGGAAAACAGGGCTACTGTTCAGACCCCCAACTTAGTGGTGAGTTGGGAAGGTACTTCCTACTGTTGCCATCTAAATATCGTAGTCAGGATCAGATATTGTGTTAGATCCTACTGCAATAAACACGTCCTCCCTGAATACAAACAACGGTTCCATGGGAGAAAGTCTCCGGAGAGCAGTAGCTTCTTTTTTCCCCCATCTTGTCTCTTGTGTTCAGGCCTGTAGGATCTCTCAGAGGCTGCCCTAGAGAGGATGCTTCACAAGCATTTGATAACACAGCCCATTACAAGCCATCAAGACTTTCCAGGCCAAGTGCACATCAGCCAGGAAGCCAGTGTACACTGGGATGTGAACGGGGAGAGAGATGACACCTAACTTATCTTTTCCAGAGTGAAGTGCCTGGTGCCACTCGAAACCCCTGGAAGTGGACTGTGGAACACATTGTCTATAAAGCTTTCCGCTCACACCTTCTGCCTCCTAAACATTTCACAGAAGATGGAAACATCCTGCAGCTTGCCAACCTGCCCGATCTATACAGAGTCTTTGAGAGGTGTTAAAGACGGCCGTTTATGGACTCTGGGGTGTGCTGTTCTTCCTTTGTATCCTCATGCTGGTAGATCTGAAGGCTGAAGACTCATGTGTGCCTGCTAACTAGTAGCACTCTTTCATGCATGGTGGGTTGATTATAAATAAATTGTCAGGATGTGTCCTAACCTTATCTCTTATTTAATTTCATCACACTTGAAATTTTTCTACATCAATTTTTACCTAGTGTATACCTGATTGTATTGAAGAATCCCAAAAGTAGTTTGAAAGCTCTCTGGGCATCTGATAAGAATTCTAAAAAGGCCTTGAAGATTTCATAGATCATGCCCTGATTTGACACTTTCTGTATTCTGCTAAATTTCTAATATCAGGTGATATATATTATGTTGGTTCAGGTGCCTTTTAAAAGAGATCCTAAACATATGAGAGACTGACACTGACTCTGGAGAAAGCTGAACTGATAATCTGTTAGTACCTTCAATAACCAAAGCAAATTAATTAATTCTTAATGAAATAACTTGAGAAGAAAATAGTCCTTATCCAGTCTATAACTGGTATGCGTTTTTAAGTTAGCCCACTTTGTTAATGGCTATGAATACTATCAGCTTAAGATAAAAGTTCTAAGTGTTCTTGTTTGAAGGATGATGTAAAAATAAGAACTTAAACTATGAGCTACCTTGATATTAGCCTGCTTTAACAGAAATGTGCAGTCAGCACAGGGAGGAAGAAGTGAGATTCCATGAGCCCAGGAGGGGCACAGGCTGAGTGACCATGGGTACAGAGGAAGCTGGGTTTTGAAGACCTCAAGAGCTGGACCACACAGTGTGTTGGTTCCAGCTGTGGGATTCTAGGATAAATCTGCATTTCAGAACATGCCCTCCCCCACCCCCCACAGCTGTTGCTACTACTAGAAAGAAAATTTATAGGAAATCATCTCAGTTCAGGAGATTGGTTCCCGTATTTTAAAAACAAAGGGCTAATTAAAGAAGGGAATAATTATTAGATATTTTATTCACATTTGAGTTAATTTTATTAATCTAGTTTCAAGTCTAATTTTATCTTATGTGGCTTTGATTCATTAGACTTTCCCTAATATTTGTTCTGTGTAAACACACTGAAGATACAATAATTATTTCCATAAAACCACAGTGATTCTCAGAGCAAAAGCAAATCACAAATCCTGCAAAGGAGCTACACTCAACGATAAAAACCTCTTGGACTGGGTAGCTTTAAGGATGAAACTCAAGTTCTTAAAGGAAAAAGTTCTCTATTCCAGATTATTTTTCCTTAAGAAAGAGAGAAAAGAGGAGGGGCAAGATAGGAGGGGAGTGAGTACCATGACCTGTTTTAAATGGTCCTCTAACAAAAATGAATGTGTCAGTAGTCAACCGTGATCAGCAACAGGGTGTTTAATAGACTCTTCAGGCAGACTGCCCATCTGCCTGCCCTGCCCCTCCCTCCCCTCTCGGGCTTGTCTGAGGTTTTATTCCACAAATAAGCAGCAGATGAAATACTTTACAAGATACAGCACAGCTGATGTGAAGACTAAGGACCCTACTCTTCCTTTAAGAGTATTAGGCCTTGGACTTCCCCTGCCCCATGCAATAAAGCAAGTTTTATATACACTCCTCATAGCTTTTTCTAACATTTTCTTATATAAATTTAAATATTTTACAAAAAAAGGCTTTTTCCTCCAAACATACAAATTTGAGTGACACATGTATTCCCCACCTGTGAACTTGTTTCTTCACTAAAATATAAATGCCATCTGATATTAAGGATAAGTGTCTTTTGACCACTGGAGATCACTGAAGTCTGAATTGCACCGTGGAGAAGGCACTTGTGTTTTTCTGAGGTCTCCAGCAAGTATCTCAGTGAGCACTCAGAGAATCGCTGTCCTCCAGAACCTGTGCCAAGGCCTGCAAGCACCCAGTCACTGAGGCAGCTGGGGAAAAGTGGTGAGTAAACTTGATTCTAAAGTTATGGAAATAAAAAAAACAGCATGGACCAGTTCTCAGTCTAGAATCAAACTACAAACAAAATCCAAAGTGTTCATTCATGAAGATTCAAACCTGTTTCATTCTCTCATAAATTATAAAATACAAAGGTGGCTATTTTAATGACATAGCTCCAACAGTACTGAAAGGGGTTTGTGTTGATGGACAAAACTCAGTCCCACTGGGTGGGGCCCCAAGGAGCAACCCCCAGATAGAAGGGTGGCCTCCCTACTGCTGAGCCAGAAGCGCTGTCCTGTTGGCCTTCATCTTCTCCAGCCGCTTGGCCAGGTGGCTGTTGGTCATCTCCATCTCCTCAATCTTGTCCAGTGCTGTTCGTAACTGCAGACAGGAAGAACTCAGTCACTTCACGTGGTCAGAAGTAAAACCCAGTACTACATTTCAGCTTTCTGGGAGATGGAAGCACTGCTAATTATGATGGCCTTGCATAGGCTCCCACAGCCTAAATTTTTTTCAGTCAGCTAGAGGTGTTAAACAGTGATGCTGAGCATTAATCACAGAAAGGACATACAAAAGCTGGAGAAAAACAAAAATAAAAACTATCCTTTTTTCTTATTATCTAACTGGCCAAAAAAAGTAAATGGCAGTCACTCTGCAGGTCAAAAACCAACAGAGAAGAGTAAGGGACTCACTGCTGTTTCCTAGATTGGACCCAGGATTACATTCCTTATACAGCAAAACAGTTATTTCCAAAGGGTTTTCTCTTTCTAGGAATGTATTCCAAGCATGTTAAAGCGAGTACCTCTCGTTGCAGTTTCCTCTTTTCTGCTTTCAGCTCATCTTCGACCTTCTCAGCGTTCTCCGCGGCAGTTTTGTATCTCAGTACCTGTCCCTCCAGCCGGCTAATCTGTAAATATGAAACAGAGGCCTCTGCTACTGGGCGCTGGGAGCCACCACTGCTTTGCAGTCAAGAAGGAGATACAGTGTCATTACAAATTCTAAGTAATCTAACACTAACAAGTCCCCTCAGGGTGAGCCATAGGTCCTCTCAGAACTCAACGGCTATGGATAAATCAAGAACTGTCCCACAGAGGATTACAGCTGCACAGTCATTACGGGGCCAATTTCCCGCAGGTTTTATGATGAACATACTGTTTAATTGCCAAAGTCACATTGCAGGAGGAGACTCACTGAATAGAAAACTTTTTAGACTTTTTGAAATGTACAATAAGGGATTTGGTTATAAAGTATGATCTTGAATTCTTTTGAAATATCTACAGAAATAGGATTATAGCTACACTTTTCTACATTTTTACAGAAAACAGAAGGCTAAGGTGCCCTGCCAGGAGTTCTCTGCTGGCTTTTCCACTTTTTCCTTATAGACCTTCCAGAGATCCAACTGCAAGGGCAGCCCAAAGAAACCCAGGCACTCAGAGTGGGCCACTTAGATGCAGGAAACGAATGTATTTTAAGGGAATTTAAATCTCTTGGTAACATATAGAAGAAGTACTTACACTTTGCTCCAAGGTGGTTATATCCTGTTCTGCTTTTGAAAGCTTAAATTTGTATTCACTAATTTGTCTATTGGCATCTCCTAGAACAGAAGAGAATGATGAATCACCTCTCAGAGGTAAAGGTGTGACCCCTCAGGCAGTGACACCCTCTGCAGCCCAGGAGAGGACTGTGTAGTCTAAAAGGACAGGACATAAGTGCACACAGGCCAACCACAGCATCTCTGGCAGCCCAGGCACTGCAACATGAAAGTAGCACTTGTGTTGCAACAGCATCCCTTAGATCCTGAGTCAGAGAAAATTCACTCTTCACCCCATGATGTGTGTAGGTGAGCTCTGAGTAAGGAGCCCCGTCAGTGCAGCAGTGGCCCCTGCCAACCTCATCTGCAACGCTATGTCCCAGGCAGCCTCCATGCCCATGGGACTGAGCCCTCCAGTTTCCCTGAACTCAGCCTTGAACGTTCCCACCTCCCAGCTTTCCTGCTAATCTCCCACACCTCAAGCACCCTTTTCTCCCCACCTCTGATTTAAGTCTTAACCAACCTTCAAGGTCGTGCTCAATTTCCACCTCCTTCATGACTCTCCTTAGTTAACTAACTTCTTCCCTTGTTGCATTTTATTTGCATTCTCTTTTATGACATTTATCGTACTTTCTTAATATTACATTACGTATGTAAGGAGGGGGGCCCAGCCTTAGCCTTCTTGAATATACCTTTGTATCTAGCTAAGTGCTTTTCACATAGTGTATGCTTAATAAATATTTGCTGAAATAAATGCTTTTCAATAAGATGTGATAATATGTTATGGGTAGAGCTATAAATCATTAGCCATACATCTGACCTAAGAAGCAAATCATATAAAATGAGAAGTTTAGAAATGACGGGGGAGAAAAATTCCCTCCAGCAATCCAAATTTAACAAAAACCTGAAATGCTTTTAGGATAGGAATCATAATGCATGCAGGAAAAAAACCAAATTAACCTACCTAAGAACTTTGCTGCTTTTCCATATAACTAAGGTTACAACTACCTACATAATCTTCAATGCAAGAGGTTTTTCAATGCAAGAGATAACTGATAGTTACTCTCACCCTAAAAGTAATGAGGTTGTATAACCCTCTCCCCAAAAGCCACCTCTGGGAGTGAAAGAACAATTCCTATTCCTCGGCTCTAAAATGAAGCTTCAGGATCTTGTTTTTTAATTCTTAACTCCAGCAACTTATTATCAGAATGTGCTGCTTCCTTCTCTCTCTCCAAACCACCCATTGCTTCTTGTTTTCAAAAGTGTAAGTCCGTGGTCTCAGCCATTTCCTGCATGTTTTGAAACTGCATTCCAAAACACCATGCTTAACAGCCAAGGTGCTGGCCAGACCCGAGAGTCACCGGGGTTCCTTGCCTGGCCTCTGGGGCAGCGGAGCTGCCTGCTCTTGTCTTTACTAGTCAGGCCCAGCCTTCCCCCAGTCCTGTTCAGCTCACCTCAATCTCCAGCCCCACCTTGGGTACTTTTCCTCCCTCCACAAATGCCAGCTCTGTAACACCTATCTGCTGCAGGAAGCATTCACCCATGAATGCATGCCCATTCCCTCTCAATAGGATTCCATTTGAATTTGCTGCTTTAGGCCAATCTCTTTCAAATCAATCCCCTGACCCCTCTCTGACTGTTGACGGCCATTGTCCTGGTTCAGCTCATCACAGCCTCCTAA